TGGAAATGAAATAAATTGCAGTTACACCCTCATCCGCTGGGGGCTAGAGGTTGTATGAACTAGTCGACTAGTCGACTTCACTGCCCTGTAGTGACTTTTTATGCCTGTCATCGACTAGTCGCTGTCACGTGATAATGAGCGACAAGATGCAGTCCTCGGAAAAGACAGCAGGTGACGAGATCCTGCGCATCGGGAGGCAGAGGCGACGTGCTGTGCCAGAGCGTCGGTACTGACACCCACGGTAAAATGGACATTTAACCAAATTGTGACGTTTACCCTCTTGCAATTTAACCTTCCCCTCACCCCCATCCTAACCTTAACCAGCTTGAGCATGCAAAGCTCTGATCGTTGACGCGCTCCAGACATCTGCGTCCTGAGCACTGCCGCAGTAACATTATCAAATCAGGTGTCGCCACCTCAAAAACAAATTTAACATGCGATCGTTCATGTCGGCTCATTTCCTTTTATGTTTTCTGTCTTTTATTTGTGCCTGATGTGTTTCGCTGCTGTGGAGCGGAGCGCATCATCTGTTTTGTCCTCCGGTGACACACCTAACTGATGCGGCCGGCGCGCACTCCACTGTTTTTGCGGTCGGTAGATCTTTTAGAACTGCTGTTCAAAGGTAACTCATGAGGTGAATATATATGAACCCAGGTAGCAGTTTTTCTTTAGGATTGAGAGGAGATGCAGGAAGATAATAAACAGAAAGGGCAGAAAAATAGTCAAATAAAAACAAGTTAGTTTTTGTACCTGCTGGTTGCAACAGACACCATTGAAGGTAATCAGAAGTGAGGAACAGAAAATGAAATAATTATTTTAATGTTTAGAGCAGCAGGAACTCTGAGAGGCTGCAGGCGCATCAGTGAGTTTGCGGCCGCTGCGCAGGGGGAGGGGGGAGAGGGCTGAAGCAGAAACTACCATTGTTAAAAGAAATGTGTTTTACTTTGAAAATGTGGGCGCAATTTTAATTGTCAAAAACTCCAGCGAACCAACCGACCGACCCCCACCCCCGCCGCTTCAGGTGTATGATGTCATCAACGACTAGTCAAAGTCGACTAGATTTTCACTACTTGACTGTCGACTTTAAAAAAAATTAAGTCATGCAGCCCCTACTGGGGGCTGGTGTCAGAAGCGAGCAAATCCTCATTGACTCCCATGTTAAAAATACCATTTTCACTGCAGAAATAAACATGTTTTAGGTTTAATGGATCTAGTTTACACTCATGACAACTCTGAGGGGGGTGACTTTTTTTCTCACTCTTCTGTTTAAGTGTATTAAAAGCCTAAAATTCTGAATAATTAATGAGCATCAGACCCACGTGACCGCAGAGCTAGCTCCGGGGAAAGGCCTCAGTCTGAGCCTCGGTCTGGCCTGGAAACTGTTCCGTCAGTTTCAGTCTCTCAACTTAGACCATTAGTTGTGCCGTTTGTGTATTCTTTTTTGGATATTTTTTGTGCAATTGTTGGACAAAATGACTTGCTGTGGCATTAATTGCACTAATAGAGCGTCCAAGGAGTCTCCACTTCATTTTTTTTTGGTAAGTAAAAATATATTTATATATTTTAGGTCACTGCCGAGCTGAGCTTAGATTTTAACATGTACTGTTTAACCATGAAATTTAAATGTAATAGGGTAAAACCCAGTGCATTTAACATAATGCTGCACTTTAGAAAATGGGTTGAAATATAACATGTTGGTGGAGCTGGGTTCCGACTATCGGCTTGTGGAGCTCTCGGGAGACCGATGTTTTCCACCTGTTCTCCCCTCCCCGTAGCTCGGCGCATCTCTGTCTGATCGCGGCTTCTGTCTGCTGCGTGGGCTGCCGGCTTGTGGAGCTCTGGGATGGAAACCTTTCCACCCGGTTCTCCCCAGCGGCAGCTCTGCGCATCTCAGATCGCAGTGGCGCTTGTCTGCTGTGCGGCTGCCGGCTTGTGGAGCTCTCGGGAGACCTCTGTGTTCCACCCGGTTTTACCCAGCGGTCAGCCCGGCGTATCTCTGACTCAGAAGCTCTGGTGTTGTGCACAGTTAACTCCGGTTGTAGCTAGGTTGCTACCTCCGTTAGCTTAGCTCTCACCTCCGCGTTAGCTTTGTGTTTGCTTCAGGTTAGCTTGTAGCTAGTTCGACCGGGTGTCATCAGTTGATCCCAGCCTTACAGCCCCACCCTCAGCTCCACCTCTCTTCCCTTTTGTGGAATTGTCTGGGCTTGATGGAACCCGTGACACGGTCAAAATGGCGGTGGTGGCCACCTCCCATTTTTCTTCAAAAATGTGTTATTGGAGCCCATTGTCCATATATGTATGTCGATGGTTGCGAGATGGGCGGAGCGGTGAGCTCCACCTGCTGTTGATGGGACGGGCATGTCCGGTTCTCCCAGAACCGTGAGCTGCAGTTGCGCGCGCCGCCAAAATGACATGCTTTATTTAGAAATGCAGCCGCATGGCCAGCCGGTGTTGACAGATCTTCAGTCCCGAATGTTTCTCTTTTGTTTTCACTCATCAGCCACAGATCCTCGCTCACAGTAAGCTGGGCTTCCTACCGTGGTGACTCACTCACATGTTCCCTCTCCTACATTAGTTGGTGACACGGTGAATTAAAACATTAGGAATCCTAATGTTTTAATTCACCACTTCACCCGTGTGTTTTTCCTGTTTGTGAGACAAACTCCTCCTCTATAACCAGGTACAGAAGCATGGAAAGGTCAAAATTCCTCAAACGTTTTTTTTCCCCTAACGGCTGATATGAATTAATATAACAGAATAGAGTAAACTTTATTAGTCCCACAGTGGGGACATCCACTCATTACAGCAGCACACACACTTAGAGACACAGATTACAGTAAAACTGATTCCAGCCATGTTTGCTTTGATAACTTCAATAACTTCATGCTGATGAACACATGAACATAATCCTCTGTTTAGTGGATGCAACTACATCAATGAAGCTAGCTTAACATGATAGATTTTTTTTTCTTGGCAGGAAATAATAACTGGTAATATTATGAATGACTTGATATTGCCCACCCCTAGATGGAATTTAAAAACATTTACATTAATTATAATTAAAAGTTCCTGTGTGACATTTGTGACATGAAGCTGCAACTCTACTGCTGATAGATAGATAGAGAGAGAGAGAGAGAGAGAGAGAGAGAGAGAGAGAGAGAGAGAGAGAGAGAGAGAGAGAGAGAGAGAGAATGTGAATTTTCCTCACGAAAATAAAATTTGTATTAAACAAAGGTCAGTTCCTACTGTAAAGTCAGAGGTACGGAAGAGGATTAGGGCCACTGAAAAGAAATAAATGAAAAGAAAAAGAATTTTGACTTTTTCCCAGAATTCCCTTTCAGAATTCCTAGATTAAAAATCAGAATTCTGAGAAAAAGTACCGCATTTTCCGGACTATAAATTGCACTTTTTTTCATAGTCTGGCTGGTCCTGCGACTTATATACCTAATTATGTATACCGTGCTGCTGCGGGCCGGCTCCGGACCAGGAATGACCCTAACCCTAACCAGGAATTTCCCAGACATGAAACCAACAACAGCCTTCCCTATTGTGAGTCAAGATGGGTGAGTCAATGGTTGGCCTTGTTCGAGTTGAGCAGCGCCTCGCCTGGAAAACAGACGAGAGCAGACGGACGCAGCAGGGGGAGTGGCTGAAAGTCGGCGTTGAAGTCGGACAGATTTCCCTACGTGTGTAGCTTGCGGGTGACGATGGATGAAGATATCGCGTTAGCGTTCACACTTGTTTAATTATTTATTGTAATTCTGGTGCCTGTCAGCAACCGAAACACATCCTCACGTGTTTGTGGATATCATATATTGTAAATGGAGACATGACTGTAATAATAAGTAAAGGTTAGCAGCTGTAGGCTTAGTGTGCTCATAGGAAACGTGACAAAATAAAACAAAACACATTTCTCTTCATGATCTATATAGTTGTCATCATCAACATTACATGATTTACAGAATATATGTGACCAACTAACATTTCATGTTCTACCACCGAATGTGTGGATCAGAATGTGAACCAATCAGATCTTAGATCAGGTGAGAGCCAGGCGTTTCCCGTCATGCCCTAGGTTTTGCAGCCGGTGGAGAGCAACTGCAGCGCCTTGCTCCAAAATCTGCGGCCGCCTTGATCTCACGAGGATATCGTTGCCTACGTAGGCATGACGTCAGAGCAAGCCGAACACAAATCTAACCGGCATGCACTGCTCGCCGATCACCGGTGATCTAATCTGCGCAGAACTGGCTCATCTCGAACAGTGTGACTATGACAGTGACATAGATCTGAAAGGATTTTCAAATCCTAGAATGTCACCCTCTATTTCAGGGCCAATCAATTCCAGGCCTGAAGGTCCGGTATCCAGCAAGTTTTAGTGGTTTCTCTGGTCCGACACACTTGATTCAGTGGTTGAATCACCTGTGCAGCAGCTCATCAGAGTCTGCAGAAGCCTGCTAATCACCTGCTGATTGAAATCAGGTGTTAAAACCAAAATGTGCTAGATACCGGGCCTCAAGGCCCAGAATGAAATAGCCCCGGTCTATAGATCAGAAGTGAATGCAGGAGATTATTGTAGGAGACGGTTTTCATGTTCAGCCTGCATGAAAAACTTGAAGCGACTGATTAAAATCAGAAACGATGATTAAAATGGTTTGTCAGTGAACCACACTTTTAATTCAATTTACAAGTAGTTCTTACTTGTGTTTCCCCACTAGCACACAACCGTTAGCTTGAGTTCGTAAAATTGTTTCCTTTATTATTTTACTCACAAAGTCCAGTTCTTAGCTTTTGTTAATCTCAAGAACTACTCTTATTCAAATTAAATGCTTTTGGCGCACTTTACGGTCAATCTGAAAAGAACAGAGCTGAGGAGTGATGACATTAGACATTTAATTCTGCTGCTTTTGTTAACAGATTAGGGAACTGTATAACCAAACTAATCAGTGCTGTTATGTTTCGTAGCTGTGTGTGCATTTCTCAACAATAAAAACAACTTTCAGTTTATTGTGAACCGATTTTAATAAAGAAAATCATTATGTAAAGATAAAAAGGACTATTCGTTTTCATTATGACCTTATATGATTATAAACATGCATATAATATAGTGATACAAAAGTAAAAAAAAAAAAGTGAAGACACTTGAGGCAGTAACACACATAAAACGGTCCTTTCACCCAAATTCAAATTGCTTAACAAAACAAATGCCATAAAAAGTCTTTAAGTGCCCCTGGTTGTAATTGTTGCATTTCTTTAACAAATCTCTTCCTCCATCTTGTGGTAAAAACGTGCTATTGCAGGACAGACCATGTGCTACATGTGTTCTGGGTGGTTCTGCAGGCAGGTGATGAACTCTTTCACTGCCTTGCCTTCATAGCAGATCTGGTAGACCGCTGTAAACAAGGGAAACCTAAAGGAGAAGGATGATTTGATCATGTTGATGAGGAAAAATGTGCAAATAATCCGAGAGGTCAAACAAAGACTCACTTGTTGACCATATTCTGCTTCAGAAGAATCTTGTAGACCTCAGAAGACGTCTGTGGACCCTGGAGCTTCTGACCGTTGAGCATTTCCACCTCCAGCTCAGCAATTGTCTGCAGAAGGGAGACATGGAAAGAGATTGGAAACTATTTCACAGAATCAAGGCTTTTCCGTGTTAGCTACAGCCTACTTTTCATTAATTTAATTTGGGTTTTTGTCTGTGAACATTGAGCTGACAGCCTAGAAATCTAGACAGACTGTAGCAGTAGCATAAATATTTTAGTTCAGCCATGCTACACTGCAGTCTCAGCAGGTCTACCATTGGCTCGGCTAAGTGCAGAGCGGGCCAATCACAGCGCTCTGTGGAGAGATGTTGAGCACACTGCAAAAATGATTTCTACATAGAAAAAAATCCTAATTTTTGGATATGTTTTCTTTTTTTATTATTTCTTTTTATTTTAAAAATGAAAAAAATCTTCTCCAGCTAATAAAACATAAAATTTGATTATTTTGCAAGTTTTATGATTTCTAGCCAAGCAACTTTTGCTTACCCCATTGGCAGATACTTTACTTGAAACAGGAAAATTTGGATCCTATTTAAGAATTTTTACCTTATTTTAGGAGATGCTATTTTTCTAGAGAAGAATTCTTTTTTTAAGACTAAAATAAGATATAATGTGTAAAATATTAAGCTTTTTTTTTACTTTCCTAGAAATCAGCTTTTGCAGTGTGCAGGCTTAACACTTTTTACAGCAGAGCATTTTTATTTTTGTTAACAATGACAGCAGAGAACTACAAAGATGGCGACAGCTCAGGAATGGCTGTCGTTTGAAATTCTCACACCAAGCTCGCACCTTATTTGTCCAAAGGACGTCCTCTGGGTTTGCGTTTTTTGGGTTTCCTTTAGAAGTTTGGGCCTCGACTCACCTTCGACGTTGTGACGAAGGCCTCTGCAACTTTGCGGTTCCGTCCTCCGTAGCAGGTGGTGATGAGATCGGCCACGCCGCAGCTTTCCAGGAAGGTGCCTGAGCTCACCTTTTCTTTGCAGAACAGCTTGGCGAAAGCTACCATTTCCATCAGACCCAGTCTGATCACTGCCGCCTTGGTGTTGTCGCCAAAACCGAGGCCGTCACAGAACCCGGCCCCTACTGCTACGATATTCTGGTATGAGTAAAAACGGGAGACATTTTCATTGAACTTTGTAATAATGACATTAACCCCAATAATTATTTATGTTTGATTACCTTCAGGGCACCACACAGCTCTACGGTGTCACTTTCTTGCACAACAGTGATCCGAAAGTTGGGCGTCTGCAGCAGCTCCTTGAAAATGAGGCCATTTCCTTCGTTTTTTGCACCTTTAGTGCAGAAATAGAAACAGAAAAGGCAGCATGATTCAGACTTATGAAACAGAGAAGTTACACAATACATTCACCAACTGCTTTTAAAGAAAAATAAATAAAGGTTCTCACCAATCGTGGTTTCACAGAACTTCTCATCCGCCACCTCATTGGCTATATTAGCACCCATCAGGACACTGACCTCAATCTCAAGTTTCTCTCGGATGATGTCTGAGATGAGCTTCAGTCCGTCTGGACCCTCATCGATACCCTGAAAACATCAAATATTCAAAAGCAGAACGGTGAAACTCAAGGAAGAGGTCAGAGAGATGATTTTCTGGAGTTAGTCAGGCTGGCAGCTTCTTTTTCAACAACCAGGAAATGAAAATACATCACAAGATCTTACTTTGATGAGAGATATCCCAATGGTTCCCTCAGTCACATGAGGCTTCATCTGATCACAAAGTTTGTGGATGAACTGGTGTGGGATAACAAAGATGAGGATCTTGGCTCCTTTCATTGCCTCTGTGACATCAGGGACAGCCACCTGGTGAAGGACCAATAACAGTTCAATAAAATCTTTTTTAAAGCTCTAAAGGGTTTTAAAAAGGACTATTTTTAATATTTTAAACAAGAAAACAAAACTATTTTCCTGCAACAAAAATCTTGTTTATGGATGATAAACAAAATTTCATGAAAACAACACATTTTCAATAATAAAGCATGGTGGAGGATTCAATATGGTTTGGGCTTTTATAAAATATTGGTGAAAAATATTAAATGGATGCAGATAAATGACATGTCAGAGTTGTAAACTTGTCATCTGATTTTAAAAAATATGGAATTATAGTTTTTGGTCAAATCTTGAAAATAACACCTCATGCAATCAAACATATACTCCAAGCTTTGTTCCTTTTTGTTAGTACTTCAAGTTTGTTTTGTGAATGACTCAGCTACTTCCACACCAAATTGTGGCTTGACGTCTGTATAACTGACCGAGTTAGTGCCGTTTTCGAGTTTGCTAATGTCAATTAGATGTGGCAGACATGTGAAATTGGGTCGATTCCTAAGTTGTAGACGTGCATGCAAAGATGGTAGGGCTGCACGATATTGGATAAATCTGTGACGCGCGATAAAAGTGATTAATATTGCAATGACGAACATGACTTGCATTAAGTAAACAAATACTTATCTAAAGAACAAAATAATCAAAAACAATTTTTTAAATGACCAAAAAAATGTTTAAATGGGAAAAGCAAAAAATGTGATCAAAAGATGTGAAAAAAGGGAAAAAGAAAATGAACAAGAAAAGGCAATCCGTGGATCCTGGGAAATGCAGAATCAGCAGAAAGAGCAGAACAAAGCTAACTGGTGTTTGCTAGCTATCCAAAATAAGTGCCGTCCACCTCAGGTATCTAACCTATAAGAACCCACCTGATTGGCCGAATGGGTGAAGAGCTCTATTTGATTTGTCGAAAACTTCATGCTTCTGTTTGATTGACAAAATGCATTATATGTAGCAAACATTTGAGCTGACCGTTCATTGCAGTTTTACGATATGCATATTGTGCGTGCCAATATCCCGATGACGATATATTTGCGGTATTTTGTGAAGCCCTAAAAGATAAGATATAGTTCTGATTGATAGAAAAACAAAGACAACCCAACAATGACCAAAATTAACTAAAGCTTCCAGGATGACTTAGGTCTGTAATAATCTAAAGATGTTTAAAATAAAATTCACGTTTCTACATTAGACAGTACACCTCATGTTGCAGGAATGTACCATGTTACTCCTCTATGTCTGATGAAATCTGAACATTTTCACAGATTATGGTAGTTGCAATGAAAAGAGACATTTTTTAAACCTCCACCAACCAACATTTTATGGTCTAAAAAACTGTGACCCAAATGTTGCACTCATTTCACACAGCTGTGTACATGACTTGAAAAAGGTCTTTAATTCACCCAATTTTCAAAGTGAAATTATATACCTATAATTACCCATTGGTAAAAAACAAGACAGGTGAAAGTCTTTCTTGTGTTTGGGAATCTTGACTGGTTTGTTGTGAAGGATTGTTGGACCTTCCTTACGAATAACTTGCAGAAAGTAATAATTTGATCTAGAACAAAAACTGATTAAATTATGGAGTCAACCATATTCAACATGGCTGTCATAACTAATTTTAGTCATTACAAAAATAAAACGGACTCAATGTATTGCGCTACAGTTTGTTATTTGCCGAGTATTCTTAAAGGGATCCTATTGTCCATTAGTGAAACCAAAAGTGAAACTTATCTCCTCGTTGTGCGTTTGTCTTTTAACACCTAAATTTAACTTCTGAAATGTCTCCACCAGCCATCATTAGTTTCTACAGGAGTGATTCATCACTAAATGAAACAAATAAGCTGTGTTTATGATCTAAAACATGCAGGAAATGTGCTGGAAGCAGGCTGCAGCGCTTGAGTGTCAGCTCAACTTTACTAAGTCCAACAGGGATCGGACCGGTGTCGGTACCAGATTGGCTCGGGGTCCAGCGCCTGCTGATGACGTCACATTACGGCAAATCCACTCGGCTTTCGCACATACGTTTTGGAAAGACATCAGCAGTTTTGTTAATAAATTCACGTTTGTTACCACGTAAATGTTTTCTTCACAACTGTAATTTGTTAATAAAACACCATATTATCTTTGTTTTGTCAAGAATGTGAAACTACATAAAACCAACATCAGCCTGGCAAAAAAAGACAACAATTCATATATGTGAAGCCATATCTGTTTGTATTAAAGAGGAATTTGTCTTTATACCTCCGTAATTGTTATGTAAATACATTCATTCATTCAAAAAGTTGCTTGGTGTCTTTTCAATAAAGTTTATATATACACACACACACATATATATATATATATATATATATATATATATATATATATATATATATATATATATATATATTCTACTGCGCTGTGGTCTATCGTCCACCTGGTCTAAACGGTTCTTTCCTTCAGGAGTTTAGTGACTTTCTATCCTCCACTGTGAAGCTGTCCAGACTGGTGATTTTGGGTGACTTTAACATCCACGTTGATGATCCCTCTGATCACTTTGCCATGAAATTCTCCAGTCTTATGGACTCCTTCAGCTTTACACAGCATGTTTCTGGCCCCACACACACACACCAGGGGACACACTCTAGACCTTGTTTTTATCCTGGGTCTAAATGCTGACAGTGTTTTTCCTGAGGACGTTTATATTTCAGATCACCATTGCATTTTCTTTAACTTGTCAGTTTCTGCATCCCCACCTCCTGCTCGCAGTCTGGTTAGTTCTCGTTTTCTTAATGAGAGCACAGCTAACAATTTTTCTGCTGCTTTTGATCTACCCTGTTCTTCTGATAACGACCCAGATTCCTTAACTTCTCAGTTTAACGAGCACTGCCTCTCCATTCTGGACAACATCTGTCCTGTCAGAACCAGATTGGTTCCTGCAGTGAACCCTACTCCCTGGTTTAATGACAGCCTTCGCAGCCAATGCAGAAAAATTGAGCGTTTGTGGAAGAAAACCCATCTCCACGTCCATCTGCTGCACCTAAAGGATCTTCTGACATCCTTTAACTCTGCAGTCAGAGACGCTATGGTTTCCTATTTTTCCAACCTGGTGTCCCAGAGCAAAGGGAACCCCAAGGTGCTGTTTACCCTTGTCAGCAGCATCGTGTCTCCTGCCTCTCCTACAGCCTCCATCCACTCTGTTACAGACTGTGAGAACTTTCTGTCTTTCTTTGTGGACAAAGTCAATAAGGTTAGATAGCATCTCTCCTTCAGCCTTATCGCTGCCTCTCCCGACCCCAACCAGGCCCATCGTCCTAGATAGCTTTGCTCCTGTTTCTTTGCCTGAGTTAACCAAACTAGTTAACTCTATGAAGACCTCTGCATGCCCCCTGGACATTTTACCCTCATCTTTGTTTTAAAGTGCTTTTCTGTCCATCGGTCCCAGCGTGCTCTCTATAATTAATGCTTCTCTGGTCTCTGGTCAGGTCCCTGCTTACTTTAAGAATGCTGTAATCCACCCGCTTCTTAAAAAACGAGTCTTGACCCCTCTCTCCATAGCAGCTTCAGACCCATCTCTAAACTTCCGTTCATCTCCAAGAACTTGGAAAAGGTTGTGGCTAAACAACTCACAGCTGCTCTTGATGAACATAACATCTATGATAGCTTACAGTCAGGTTTTTGTAGAGCTCATTCTACTGAAACAGCTCTTCTTAGGGTCTCTAATGACCTTCTGACTCACAGTGATGCAGGGGACTGTTCTGTTCTGGTCCTGCTGGACCTGACTGCAGCCTTTGACACTGTTGACCATCACCTGCTACTGGAGAGGCTGAGAGACTGGGTAGGCCTATCAGGATCTGCTCTGGAATGGTTCTCCTCTTATCTTTCTGAGCGCTCCTTTTCTGTGGCTGTCTCCAAGTTTAGGTCCTCCACCACCTCTCTTACCCATGGTGTCCCACAAGGTTCTGTGCTGGGGCCTCTGCTCTTCCTCATCTATCTGCTTCCTTTTCAGTACATCCTGAGCTCCTTCAAAGGAATCTCCCACCATCTTTATGCAGAGGACATCCAGCTGTACATCTCCTTTAAGCTCCATGAGATGTCTAAGCTGCAGCTGTTACACACCTGCTTAGACTGTATCAAAACCTGGATGGCTGGGAGCTTTCTTCAGCTGAATGAAGAAAAGTCTGAGATCCTCATCTGTGCCCCAGACAAGCTGGTTCCCAAAGTCAGAGACTCTCTTGGTCAGCTTGCTTCTTACACCAAACCTTCCGTCAGGAATCTTGGCATGACCTTTGACCCAGCTCTCACCCTGGATTCTTATGTCAGTTCTCTTGTTCGCTCTTCCTTCTTCCATCTCAGGAACATTGCAAAGCTGAGTCTCATTCTGTCCCGCTCTGAACTTGAGACTGTTCTTCAAACCTTCATCTCCTCACGCTTAGACTACTGTAACTCTCTTTTCACGTGTCTGAGCAAAACCTCCCTGAACCGTCTACAGGTGGTTCAGAATGCCTGTGTTCGGCTTCTGCTCAAGTCCCCCAAACACACCCACATCACCCCGCTTCTCCTCCAGCTTCACTGGCTGCCAGTCAATGTCGAGGTTCATTTCAAGATCCTGGTTCTGGTCTATAGGGCCTTACATGGACAAGCACATCTGACATTGGTGATCTTCTTAGTCCCTACACCCCCAGCAGGTCCCTGAGGTCCAGTGATCAAAGCCTACTGGTTGTGCAGCACCAGGCTAAAGACCAAAGGTGACAGATCATTTGCTGCTGTGGCCCCCAGACTCTGGACCTCTCTCCCCCTGAGCTGAGATCAGTGGACTCAGTGGTCTCCTTTAAAAAGCAGCTGAAGACTCACTTGTTCAAGCTGGCTTTTGTATGACCTTCTTCACCACTCTCTCTTTATTCTGCTCTCCCCACCTATTCTACCTTCCTCAGGATCCACTGATTTCCCTCTTTCCTAGTCACTCTCTCTTTCTTAACATTTTTTAATCACAATTGTCTATTTTTTGCTCATTTTAAATATATTTTTAACCATTTTCAAATTTTTTTTTATATTTATCTATTTTTTGTTTTTGTGAAGCACCTTGTGATTTTTATCTTGAGAGGTGCTATAAAAATGATATTTTCTTCTTCTTCTATATTTTATTTTGCCCCATTTCATCAAAATCAAGAGCTTTTGAGGGTCACCGTTTATCAGTTGATATCTTGGTTTTTACTTTACATTTCCTTTGGAAATTAAAACATTTTCTCCGAAAAGTGTTGATTTTTGGACTACAGGACTACAACCGCTAAGACTACAACCGTAAACTCATTCTGACCAATCAAAATCTTCATTGTCAACGTGCTAACAAAGTGGTATCATAACTTCCGTAAGCCTTACGTTCAGCCAATCATCTACTGTGACGTATCTGGCAGACGAAGGACCCCGAGCCGATTTGGCCACCTGAGCAGATCTGGTACGGACACCGGCACTCTGAAGTAGGGCTGTCGCAGTAACCGCAAAAATGAAATATCGCAATATGAAGAAGCCCACCGCGCTGCATCATGGGCCACCGCGATTACTGAATGTGATTCAACTCAATGATGCATGTTGAGAAGGATGGCTGCACTGGTATCAAAACGAAACGTTACTTCGCTCCTTTGGGAGCACTTTGGTTTTCAGTACGTCAGCTGCTGCGCAGCTAGGGTCCAGGCCGAGACAGAGCTGCCACCAGCGGCAAAAAAATAAATAAATAAATGCTCGGAGACCTGCTGAAGTCCCGGACAAGCACTGCTTCTGCAACCGTCCTGAAGAGAGTTTGAGCCGAGCTGGAGCTCACTCGCTACCTGCAGGAGGAATGCATCCACCCTAAAGAAACCCCCCTGACATGGTGGAGCAACAACCGGGAGAGATTCCCTTTGCTCGGCAGAGTCGCACGCAAGTACGTGTGTGTTAGTGCAACGAGCGCACCATCCGAGAGGGTTTTCAGTGTTGCTGGAAATGTTGCCACCCCTCTCAGATCCTCTCTCAAACCGTATATGGTTAACATGCTTGGTTTTCCTTGTAGGTAACAAGGACGTGACCGAGCTATAAATCACCGTCATTCGTGTGTGTGAAAGTGAAATGATAGTGTGCCCGCCCCCCGGCGCGCGCGCGCCCGGTACATGTAATTTTTTATGCTTGATTTTAAACAACTAAACAAAATGGGGACTTGTTTCTTATTTGTTAGATGCTGCAGCCAAATTTGCATTTAAAAGTTTAACCTTCTCCTGAATTTTGTTGTTTTTAAGTTCAGTCGGACTCCGACTGTCGGGGAAACAAACGTTACTGCGATCTGTGTTGTTACTGCCCTTTGATCTGCATTCAGTAAAGTGTTATTGAAGAAGGCACGGCAATTTTTAACCTTTTTTAAATGTGTAAACATTATGTTTAGATAGCACTGCAATAAAAAAAGGGCTGCAATAATATCGCACACCGCAATATTAAGCCACCCTGAATCACCGCAGGGGGAATTCCTCAACCGTGACAGCCCTACTCTGAAGTTGCAAGTGCAATATTCTGTCCACAAAGGGCGGTAGGGGTTGGAGGGGCTATTCATTAATCATGTAAAGGCTCGTTTTAGCACATACTGGCTCAAGAAAATTATTAAAAAATATGAAAAAGTTACATAGTAGCCCTTTAATAAATAACCTTAGAGCAAACAGATTGCACACAATATTTTGATATTGCACAAAATTGTGTCTTTGTTAGTTTGACGAAACACAGTGCAGTGTACACCATCCCACTGATACTTCTGCTAAAAACTCAAAATGTGTGTGTCAGAGTTAGACTATCCTGTCTTGTGGTGCATTCCAAGAACCGACTGCTGCTTAGAGTTCCTAGAAGTAAACTGTCCAACCTGTGGAAACAGGAATGGGCATGCAATAAAACTAAAGCAGCCAATTCAATAACTTACCACATTCTTGGGCAGCTTGTGACCAGGCAGATACTTGACATTTTCATGTTCTGTGTTGATGATCTCTGTGAGCTTCCTCCCGTTGATAGTTTCCTCGTAGACCCACATGTTCACCATTGGGTCAAAGCGGTTGGAGGCTTTGACATTTTGCCCAACAATTTTGGCAATGGAGGAACCCCTGGTAGGACAGAAACGGGATTTGACTCAGGAAAAAATAAATAAATTAAAAAAACAGTCAAAAACAAAATGATTCACTGATGTAGAGTCGGGGGACATGCAAAGATATGGGGCTGGCAATATGATGATAGATTGTGAGGGATTCTAACATGTTGATCTGTCATAGGTGAGTGATCCTGAAATTGTCAGAAAAGAAGTGTTTCCGCTCGGACTATTTTACATGTGACGCTCTAAGCCTAATCACCGAATTTTACAGCTGTTTTACACAAATTACGTTAAATAACTAGCACAATAGCCAAAAAAGGAAAAAAAACATATATGTCAAAATCTATAAAAATAGTCGTGATAAAATCTGAATTTAACTTTTTAAACTGGTGAATTTGTGAACTGCAACTTCAATTTTGAAGTATCTGGTAATAAACATACACGTAAAGGCAGGATTACATGACTATTAACGCAGTGGCTTCTTATGGTCTTATTCCGACTTGTTACTCGCTGACTCTGCATAATGTAAATATAAACTAAGACTGTGTTTCTGTTGGTGAAATAAGCACAGGTGAATAGTTACCAGTTTCCTGATCCAACGATGCAAACTTTCTTCCCAGGCATTCTTGTATTCTGGCTGTAATATCTAATACAGATCTGCTTACCGATGTTCACTAACTCTGTCAATAACTTCCTCATACGCCCAACGCAACAAAAAAAAAAAAAAAGCCTTTGGAGATTTACCACACCCTTTCTTGTTCCAAACTGAAAACCTGCAGTAAAGACGCTCACACGCCCCTGTAACGCTTCCTCAGCTCCGTTTATAAGGTTGAAAAGCCACTATTCCGCTGTCTTGAAGCCGAATTGTTGCCGTGAGTGCAAAAAAATTAGAATGTTACTATAATAATGTTCATTAATGCTTTGGTAGAGTTGTGTTTGTGAATATAGTAAATAAATATAGCACCTCCGTCTACCAGATTATCTGCTGCAAGCTTCAACGTGAAGCGGAAGCTAGTAGTTGGAGACATATCCGGTTATTTTCGAAATAATGGTTCACAGCGGATCAAATCAAAGCAAAAAGAAATGAGAATAAGAAAAAAACAAAATATATGTAAAAAAAAAAGTTATTTATTTATTTATTTACCAAAGTTTTACTAGTTTTGTTATAATAGGGACTTTTAAAGAGAGACTTTGCAGTTTTGGACTTCTTTAAGCATCTCCTAGTGTCCAGTTAGTCAAAGCAAAAGTGAAACTCTTCTTGCTGTGTGTCAAGCCTAATGTCTCCTCAGCCTTTATTAGTTTCTACAGGAGTGATTAAAATTTCCCTCTGGGATTAATAAAGTATTTTTGAATTGAATTTGAATTGAATTGAATTGAAATCAGCTGTGTTCACAATCTAAAACATGCAGGAAACATGCTGGAAGCAACTCCAGCACCAGGCATGTTAGCTGCACTTTACAAAGTAGTTCAACAGGAATTGCAAGTGCAAGTGCATTTGCAAGTGGTTCAGCGTCCGCATCACTGCAGACGCTGAACCAATCCGCCTGTCGATCCCCCGATCCCTCCTACCCTCACTCGTGAACAAGACCCCGAGATACTTAAACTCCTCCACTTGAGGTAGGACCTCTCCCTCGACCCGGAGTTGGCAAGCCACCCTTTTCCGGTCGAGAACCATGGTCTCAGATTTGGAGGTGCTGATTCTCATCCCAGCCGCTTCACACTCGGCCGCAAACCTACCCAGCAAGAGCTGAAGGTCAGAGCTGGATGACGCTAGGAGGACCACATCATCTGCAAAAAGCAGAGACGAGATTCTCCTGCCACCAAACTCGACACACTCCACACCACGGCTGCACCTAGAAATTCTGTCCATAAAGGTAATGAACAGAACCGGTGACGAAGGGCAGCCCTGGCGGAGTCCAACCCTCACCGGGAACAGGTCCGACTTACTACCAGCTATGCAGACCAAACTCACGCTCCTCTGGTAAAGGGATTGAATGGCCCTTAACAGAAAGCCGCCCACCTCATTCTCCTGGAGTGTCCCCCACAGGGTGCCCTTGGGGACACGGTCATAATTTTTTTCTAAATCCACAAAACACATGTGGATTGGTTGGGCAAACTCCCATGCCCCCTCCATCACCCTTGCAAGGGTATAGAGCTGGTCCACAGTTCCACGGCCAGGACGAAAACCACATTGCTCCTCCTCAATCTGAGATTCAACTATCGATCGGACCCTCCTCTCCAGTACCTTGGAGTAGACTTTTGCAGTGAGGCTGAGGAGTGTAATCCCCCTATAGTTGGAACACACCCTCAGGTCACCCTTCTTAAAGATGAGGACCACCAACCCCCTCTGCCACTCCCTAGGAACTGCCCCCGATGACCACGCAATGTTGCAGAGACGGGTCAACCTTGACAGCCCTACAACATCCATAGCCTTGAGATACCCAGGACGAATCTCATCTGCCCCCGGGGCTCAGCCGCTGTGTAGTTGTTTGACTACCTCAGCAACTTCTGCCCCCGAGATTGGACAGTCCATCCCTAGGTCTCCCGGCTCTGGTTCCTCCTCGGAATGTGCGTAGGTAGGATTGAGGAGCTCCTCAAAGTATTCCTTCCACCATCCGACTATAGCCCCAGTTGACGTCAGCAGCTCCCCATCCCCACTGTAAACTGTGTGAGCGAGTTGCTGCCTTCCTCTCCTGAGATGCCGGACAGTTTGCCAGAACCTCTTTGGAGCCGATCGATAATCTTTCTCCATGGCATCACCAAACTCCTCCCGCGCCCGAGATTTTGCCTCGGCAACTGCCACTGCTGCACCCCGCTTGGCTATCCGGTACCTGTCTGCTGCCTCCGGAGACCCACAGACCAGCCACACCCTGTAGGCCTCCTTCTTCAGCCTGACGGCTCCCCGAACCTCTGGCATCCACCAGTGGGTACGGGGGTTGCCACCTCGACTGGCACCGGCCACCTTGCGACCACAGCTAGCAACAGCCGCCTCAACAATCGTAGAGTGGAACAAGGCCCACTCGGAGTCAATGTCCCCCACTGCTCTCGGGACGCGGTCAAAGCTCTGCCGGAGGTGGGAGTTGAAGACCGTCTTGACAGGTTCTTCTGCCAGGCGTTCCTAGCAGACCCTCACTATGCGTTTGGGTCTGCCAGGTCTACGCGGCATCTTCCCCTGCCATCTGGTCCAACTCACCACCAGGTGGTGATCAGTTGACAGCTCCGCTCCTTTCTTCACTCGGGTGTCCAAAACATACGACCGCAGGTCAGATGATACGACTACAAAGTCTATCATCGACCTGCGACCTAGGCTGCCCTGGTACCTAGTGTACCGATGGGCATCCTTATGTTCGAACATGGTGTTCGTTATAGCCAGACTGCGGCTTGCGCAGAAGTCCAATAATGAAACACCACTCGAGTTCAGATCAGGTGGGCTGTTCCTCCCAATCACACCCCTCCAGATCAAGCTGTCATTGCCCACGTGAGCATTGAAGTCCCCCAGCAGGACAATGGAGTCCCCTGATGGAGCACTATCTAGCACTCGTCCCAGGGACTCCAAAAAGGGTGGGTACTCTGAACTGATATTTTGCCCATAAGCACAAACAACAGTCAGGTCCCGTTCCCCGACCCGAAGGCGCAGGGAAGCTACCCTTTTATCCCCCGGGGTAAACCCCAACACACAGGCAGAGAGTCTTGGGGCTAACAAAAAGCCAACCCCAGCCCTCTGGCTCTCACCCGGAGCACCTCCAGCAAAGGAGCGTGTCCACCCCCTCTCAAGGACTTGGGTTCCAGAGCCAATGCTATGTGTCGAGGTGAGTCCGACTATATCTAGCCGGTACCGCTCGACCTCTGCCACAAGCTTCATGATGATCCAAGTCCCAAAAACCAGTTTCCTTGTCCGGGGATCGGACTGCCAAGGCTCCCGCCTTGGTCTGCCACCCGATCCACACTGCACCGGACCCTTCATGTTCCTCCTGCGGGTGGTGGGTCCACAGTTGGATGAGCCCATCTATCCGGTTCGGGTTGGGCCCGGCCGGGCCCCATGGGCAAAAGCCCGGCCACCAGGCGCTCGCTCACGGGCCCCAACCCCAGGCCTGGATCCAGGGTGGGACCCCGGTAACCCTCTGGACCGAGTACTCCGACTCTTTGAATTTACATCCATGAAAGTTCCTCTGAACCGTTCTTTGTCTCACCCTTCACCTATTTGTCATGGGAGACCCTACCAGGGGCACAACGTGCCCCAGACAACATAGCTCCTCCTAGGATTAGGGCACTCAATCTCCTCCACCACGATAAGGTGACGGTTCAAGGAGAGGATAGCTGTTTTTTTAAATAATAGTGATTATTAAAAAATCTGAACATTGAGAAAAGCCTGTTTACACAGTATAACTCCAACCTTACTAAAAGTGTGCCAAACTGTAAAATCTTCAGTTTTCCAAATGTTCTGCATTGCATTTTATTTTCTAAATCTACAGCGGAAATACACACTCGTAAGCAGTCACGTGACAGTGTTTCCTGCCAAAGCAGTAAATATCATCCTGGCTAAGCTAGCAGTTTACCAAGCTACACACCGTTCAAAGAAACTAGTGCATGTTTTCTCATCCGTGACCGGTTCAGTGTCATTAGAAAGCCGTGTGCTATGCTTCGTTGAGGGATGAACCGACAGCCCTGTCCGTTACCGTAAAAGGAGGCTCCACCGTTACATCAAATCTCGCCAAACGCGTTAACCCGGAGCGCTAAACCAGGAGGCTTCGCTGCTGGTGACTATGCAAGGGGAACCTGCGGCGGTAAGAATCGCAGAAAACGACAGCAAGCTGGATGTATTTCCCCAGAACCGAACCCCGAGTTCGGGGAGAGCGAGTGCCAAAAGTTGGCAGTACAGGTGGGTGTACGTGGAGGCTAGCTTACTGCTCTTTTGGAGTGTGTTGTGCTTTAAAGTGTAATTTAATCATGTCCAGCCTTTGAAGGTGTGTTTGTTTGGAGGTTTCTGCTACGTGAGGTTGGCCTTTGAACACAGCTGTTCTGAAGGAGTTCTCCTTCTGAGATTGGTGTGTTTACCTTTGTGTGCGCGCTCAGCCCAAACATTTCTCCTTCCAAACCAGTGATCACATGGAGAACATTGACGGGTACCTGATGAAATACACAAACCTGGTGACAGGCTGGCAGTACAGGTGAGTTTTTATTCTCTTGAATAAGTTCTGATTTAAAAATGGAAAGGACACCCCTGACATGTGACGCTCCTTCCAGGTTCTTCGTCCTGAACAATGAGGCTGGATTGCTGGAGTACTTTGTCAACGAGCAGTCGCGTCCCCAGAAGCCCCGTGGGATGCTCCCCCTGGCTGGTGCAGTCATCTCCCCAAGCGATGAAGACTCCCACACCTTCACGGTGAACGCCATCAGCGGCGAGCAGTACAAGCTCCGGGGTGAGGCTCGTTTATCCAGATATTATAAAGTATATCAGACCAGCTAGTTGCGCCACATTGATGCCCGCCTGGGCCTTCTGTCATCATCATCCATCTTGGTCTTCCAGTATTGATCTGGACGTTTTCCATTATCTGCTGCCGGTGAGGCAGGAGCACACAGGGATCGATGCTTAGAGGATCGTCTTGGAGTATCCATACTAATAAAGTCTCTCTTTGCTTTTCCTTTTGGGTTTTATTAGCCTGCGATGCCAAAGAGAGGCAGCACTGGGTCAGCCGGCTGCAGATCTGCACACAACACCACACAGAGGCCATGGGCAAGGTGAGGAACACCTTTCTCCTTTTTATTCTCACGTATCCACTCTTTAATATCTCTATCTTCCATCACTCTGCTGTGGGGGGGATGTGAGCTGCTCGGTTTTCAGTTTCCTGTTTTCCCTCCTGAGAACTTGAGCCGTGTTTTTGTACAAATATATCAGGTTTTACTCTGCGTATGTGCAGTGATCACTAGTATTGATCTGGAAATTGATCCGTGTACTTCTCACAATCTGCTTTAATCATCTGTAGATGCATGAGCATTAGTTACAAACACAATGGAGTTGTTTATTTGGGGCGTGAGAGCTAGATTTGGTAAATGTTTTGAATGTTAGAGCAGCTAACCCACACAATTGACAGGTTTTATTCAAACAGGTGATTGTTTGTCTACATTTTTCCAGAATAATCCCCCTCCCAGTTCCCGTAGCTACTCTGTGGCTTCCCAAGGCAGTGGGAGCTCCCCCATGTCGGCGCGGCGGCCTAGCCAAAACACCGCCTCTTTGTTTGGCTGGACGCAAACCAACAAGGGCTCATCGCTCTACTCCAGCAAGAGGTCCATGGTGCCGGACCACCTTGTGGACGCCCGAGAGGTCTGACTTTAAAACCTGTTTGAGGATTGCTTTTGAAAACTGAGGCAGTTGTGGTACAAAAAAAGATATGTGAAGGTTCCACTTTGCTTGTTAAAGCAAACTGGAGAAAAAACAAAAAAACATTTCCATTCTGGTCACTACCATATAATTTAAAGGTGCAACAAGTAAGAATTTATCAATGAAATAATCACAAAACAGACTAATGTCTCAGTCGTGCTCGAAGGAAGGTTATTTTGAAACAGATTTAATTCTCAGCTGGCTGGGAGGGTGTCGGTTTTTCTCCTTATTAAAAAGCTAAAGGAAGATGTGGTCTTTGTTAACAATCTGTGAACTCGTGAGGGTACCGAGACTGTGCTGGCATTTGTAATTCAACACCAGCCAGGAAAAAGCACCGGAGTCGTGGACAGAACGTTGGCAGGTAAACAGGAGTGACCCAGAAGCTATTTGTTGTAACCCTAAGAAGCCACGGCATCTTTAGCCCCTTCCACACTAGCGGCTGCTCCAGTCCGTCCCAGCCTGGCCAGGTTGATCACACACATTAGGAATGGGGATGTGACCGATACTTACCACACCCTGTAAGAATAAACATATTAATAAAGCAGGGATGTTTGACAGTCCGGAGTATACAGCTGCATGTTAACAATGCAAAAAGACACAAGGAGTTAAAGGTAATTTCCAAACAACCTGGAATCCATCATTCTGCAAAGTACAATTATTCATAAGTAGAAATAACTGATGGGAGGAGCAGATGTTTAGCAATTTCACCCTGAGGTCAAAGGTCAAAGACTCTACAGGGATCGGCTAGCCGGTTAAAGTTAGACGATTAGAAAAAAGTTTGAACAAGTCTGGCTTGTTTGCAGGGAACAAAAACATGACCTCATGACTAAAATATTTAAAGTTGCATCAAAGGGAACTACAGAACCTCTAGAGCAAATGACCAAATAGAGTCGTTTACCCATAATGCACTGCTCTAGCTCGGAACAAACACGTCACACCAGCTGTCCACACAACGGTTTGAGCTCTCCTGTAATGTCTTAACATGAGTCCATCAGTTTGACGGCTGAAGCTTGGAACCAAACTGGGCCAGGAAGCGGGACTGTGATCCCAAACACAGCAGCCAATCAGGAGTCAGGGTGCTGCAAGGATCCAGGAAAATTCCAGACTGATCCAAACTCTTACAGGAGCTGAATGTCAGTAAGAAGGAGGAGGGTGGATGTGAAAATCCAGTCAGCCACTCGACTAAATGTTGTTTCAATTGTGAACATGACCTATTCAACATCTAGATGATTTAGCTGACTCTAGATCTGCTTAAATGCTGCGTAGTCTGCTAGAGGGCAGTGTTGTCCTAATATCACTTCAGCTGTGTGAGGGGATTTAGTGGATTTCATTAGTTTCTGCTGATAAATAAAAAAAAAGATGCACAATAGATTCAGACCTTTAGTCTGGACTGCTGCCCCGCACTTTAAAGACTTTAATAAATGCAGTGGTGATCGTGTAATCCTCCACCAGATGATGAGCCAGGCCCAGGGCCAACACAAAGACCTGATCCAGAGCATCGAGGGGCTGCCGGCGGCCCCCGGCCTCTCCCCGCTGGATCAGGATCTGCTGATGCTTAAAGCCACCTCCATGGCCACCATGAGCTGCCTGAACGAGTGCCTGCACATCCTGCACCTGCAGCAGATGGCCCGACAGAGGAGCTCCTTGGGAGGTTGGTGTCTGCTCCACCTTTGCCTTCAGTCTGAACCTGAATCTTTGTGTTCCTCTTGCTGTCGCACCAGATAATCCAGCTGGCGATTGCTGGACAGTGGAATTATTGTGCATTATTGATAGGAAACTGTACCTATTCTTGCTGCCTGTGTCAAAGGTAATTAGATCTCAGATGGTTAAATATTCACCTGAAACTCTTAGAGGGCCGAGCGTGGCTCTAATTCAGCGTCGGAGTGATGAAGCTACTGTACACTAAAGTTCACACGCGTCACTTCCACTCATGGCGTCTTAGTTTCTTTTGGATCATTTGAAAAGTAGAAAGGTGTCCCTCTCTCTCTTTTTTTTTTATTCTTGGCGGATCTTGCTACTCGATGCATATTTCATCAGGGCAGACCTGTGGCAGCGTCCAATCAGATTTAGGCATCCCATGACGCAGGAGTTGAATTTGATTAGATTCCCCCTCCTATGAAAGCAGAAAAAACTCTCTGAGAGGATTCAGCCAATCAGAGGAGGGGGATGCTTCCTGTGGGCGGGGTCGGAGTATCTTGATACCTGTCCAACCAGGAGGAGTTGGGTTGCACCCTTTTGGTTTAGAGCAGCTGCTTGAGAGCCATCCGTGTGATCAGCAGCTTTGCAGGTCGACGGTGTAGCTGCGTTTGGTTTGTGCTGCTGTGAGTCGGGAGGGGGGAGGGGGGAGGGGGGATCAGGACCATGAGTACCTCTGACCCCGAGAACTCCCCTTCATCCTCAGCAGCACCCACCATAGAGTGGCTGGAGCCCAAACTGCCCGACATCCTGAAGAACGGCAGCAGCTCCCTGGGCAGCTTCACGACGGAGGAGGGGCAGCTGGAGGGGGGCCGCCTGGAGCTCAGCTCCCCCGAGTCCTGCAATTTCTCTGGGGTAAGACAATAAAACACGACTAGTAGGGTTAGACCGATATTTCGGGCCGATGTTTACAGTTTTATTTTTTTATACATCGGCATCCGCCGGCATTTGTCCTTGGTAGAGCAGATTTAAAGTCAGGCACATCCTGGGCAGCCTGAAGCTGTTGCACAATTACATTTAAATGTATTTTTATGTTCACTAATAACATATGCATAATAAATATTCTAAATGTACTTTATTTAGATGTCTGACTTTAACACTGAACAGTGTACAAAGTTAAGATTTAGCAGTTAGTTAAATTCAGAGTTCATAAACTGATTCAGCTTCAGAAATTTTGAGCACCAACTGATGTTACTAGCGACTATTTAGCATGAAAATAAGGTGAAAAATATCCAGATATGGGCTCATAAAAGTCTGCAGTAAATGTTGGCTGACAATGTCTCTCCTATCGGTATCGACAATAAGAAAACTAGGGCTGCACTAGGGTTGTCACGGTGTGGAAATTTAACCTCACGGTTATTGTGACCAAAATTATCACGGTTTTCGGTATTATCGTGGTATTTTTTTTAAACGTGTTACATTTTCAGACAACTAAATAAACCCTGGATATCAGGAAAACATTGTCCTCGGTTTGTGTCTAAATTTTGCCTAAAATGTGTTATTTTGTAATTATGTTGTTTATTTGTTTACATTTTTCCCCCTTAGTCTTTAAAATACCAATATTTGCCCATAACTTCTTACTTTTTGTCTGTTTGATGTCATTTTAAAAATATTAGCTCAGATGATACTCAGTACTCAAGTAGCCTTCCAATCAGATATTTTTTTTTACCCTTACTTGAGTAATAAACCCTATATCAGGAAAATATTGTCCTCGGGTTGTGTCCTTCCAGTGAGCTTTGCAGATGTGGGAAAATGTCATCAGGCAGTAATCGTTGTTAAATTCATAATTATTCTCGGAGAGAGACCAACTCTTATCTGCCCCTGGGAGCCCCGTAATGCATAGCGTCATTTCAATATGGCGGTATCCGCGACACGGTTTACATGCAGGTAGCGGCGCTGCGGCTGCTTTATATAGCGACTCGTTGCATTCTTCCTCAACCCAAATCCTCGGATCACGCATTTTAGCTGAAACGCTAACGTTAGCTTGCCTTGCGTTGACTGTAGAGTTGTGGGTGATGGTCACGCAGATGTGTCATGAGATTTGAAGCGTTGCTGCCTTTCACAGACACTTTTTCTGCACGTGCTGCAAACAGAATAGCCGTCTTCTATCAACTGTCCCTCGGCGTTCTTCAGATATCCAAAAATTGCCCGTACTTCCCACTTGGTCTTCTTTGAGGGATAAAAAATTTCCTCCTGAGCGCTGCCGTCTCCTCCTTACGCCATTATTTCAGCTTTAGCTTCAAGAAAGTTTTGGTTGTAAACAACAAAGTGCGCATGTGCTGCTGGCAACTTCAGCAGATGATACGGTGGCTGGTAAGGGTCACCGCGCCTACACCGCAGCCACGGTAATCCACCGAGATAATATATTTTTTTAAAAACAAGACGGTTATTATTATTGTCAACTTTTTTACCGGGGTTTACCGCTACACCGGTTACTGTGACAACCCTAGGTTGCACAATGTTTCGTAAATATATCGTTATCGCGATATCAGCATGCACAATATGCATATCGCAAAGAACAGATAAATATCACAACAAATGGTCAGCTCAAATGTTTGCTACACATAACGCGTTCTGTCATTCAAACGAAAGCATTCCATTCCATGCTGTGGTTATTTTTAAAACACAGAGCAGTTTTGTTTACCTGTTTTCCCGCTATGTTTCGTTTGCGGCTGCAAACTTCCTCAGGCTAACGCTGATGGTGGCGTCACTTCCTTCTCCGTTTATCGGCGGGCAGCAGAGGACGTTGTCGCCCTCTGCTGCCCGCTCTCCCCTCTCCGACGATGCAGTCCCATGCGCGGTCCAACGTGTAAACTCCATCGTCCCTGTTCATGGTCCCACATCCACGTCTCCTTATCTCGATAGCTTCTTTTAACCATCTTTTGTATTTTTGTTGTTCAGTGTTTATGATCCTTGTGTTGTCCCAGTCCATTATATGGTTTTCTCTTATGCAGTGATCTGTTACGGCTGGTTTTTTTATTGTGCATTCTGCTTCTTCTTTTGCTGCTCTTGTGTGTTTTCGATTTGCCTCTTTCTCGCACTCCTTTCTATGTTCTATTGTTCGTGTGTTGCGTTGGCGTCCGGGTTCTCCTATGTATGTTTTATTGCAGAGTTTGCATGGGATTTCGTAAACGACTCCACATTTAAGTCCAGCTGATATTTTATCTTTTGGGTGTACTAGTCTGTTTCTAACTGTTGTGTATGGTTTTGTTGTTGTGTTTATTTTGTGTTTTTTCATTGTTGCTCTTATTTTTTCTGTTATGCCTTTTATGTATGGTAAGGTTATCACTGGTTTTGGTTCTTGTCTTTCTGGGTTTCTGGTTCTTTGCTTTGGTTGTTCTTTTCTTTCTATTGTTGTTTGTTGTTTTCCTTTGTTTATTGCCCATGTCAGGTATCCGCAGGTCTTTAAAGCGTGTTGTATGTGTTTGTCCTCTTGTTTATGGTCTCTTTCTTCAGTTATCATGTTTGCTCGGTGATATAATGTTCTATTACTGACATTTTGTGTATGGTAGGGTGTTCTGATGTCCATAATAGATATTGGTCTGTGTGTGTTGGCTTCCTATACGTGTTTCTGTTTAGGGTCCCGTCGGTCTGCCTGGTTATTTTCATGTCCATAAATGCTATACTGCCTTCTGTTTCTGTCTCATATGTGAACTTTATGCTGCCTGTGTCATCAATGTTTTTCAAGTGTTGTTTTAGTGTTTCGGTTTGTCCTTCTGGTATGATTTCCAGTATGTCATCTACGTAGCGTTTCCATAGTTTTATTTTGCAGTTTGGGGGGGCAGTAGCTATGGCTTTTTGCTCTAGGTCTTCCATGAAAAACTCGCACAGGGTGGCTGATAACGGGTTACCCATGGCGAAGCCTTCCAGTTGTTTGTATATTGTGTTGTTGTATGTGAAGTATGACAACACAATAAAGGCAAGTCGAAAACACACAAGAGCAGCAAAAGAAGAAGCAGGCATGGGACTGCATCGTCGGAGAGAGGAGAGCGGGCAGCAGAGGGCGACAACGTCCTCTGCTGCCCGCCGATAAATGGAGAAGGAAGTGACGCCACCATCAGCGTCAGCCTAAGGAAGTTTGCAGCCGCAAATGAAACATAGCGGGAAAACAGATAAACAAAACTGCTCTGTGTTTTGAAAAAGAACTACAGCATGGAATTAGAGATACGACACATCAAGAACACACCTAAGATGTTCAAAGAAAGCATTACATTTTTTTAACACATCAAATAGAGCTCTTCACCCATTTGGCCAATTGGGTGGGTTCCCATAGTTTAGAGTCCCACCCCTAAGGCGGGCGGCACTTCATTTTGATAGTTAGCAAACACCTGAGTTAGCTTAGTTCTGCTCTTTCTGCTGATTCTGCTTTTCCCGGGATCCACTGATTGCCTTTTTTTTCTCCTTTCCACACATCTTTTGCTTTTCTAATTTTTATGACTTTTTTTATTTCTTTGTTTTTGATTATTTTAGTTCCCGAGTTAAGTTTTTATTTATCGCAAGTAATATCGTCATTGCAATATTAATCATTATCGAATGTCGCAGGTTTTCCTAATATTGTGCAGCCCTAAGGAAAACCAACCCCTGACGGCTTGCACCAAAATCTCAGCTAGTGATTGGAATCGGCCAATAATTAACCCGATCAGCTGATCTGAAACTCCAATATTTCATTTTGTACCAAGTAGCTATAGAAAAAAAAACTTTCTTCCATGTCCCCAAACTCTAGCCTGTCCTGCCAGATTCGCCTTCTGTCTGTTCTACACAGAAGTCGAGTCTGGATACTCAGAGGCAGAGAGCACCATGAGGGGCGGGACTAGCCAGCTCAAAAATAACCAGTCAGACTAAAGGCGGACAAGACGACTATCGTGCGACGCTGTGGCTTTTTAGCTGTAGCCAACGATGACATCTGTCTTTAGAAGAAAGGCTTTTAGCGCTTCTACTTGTCCAACATGTCCAAATAATTTAGAACAGGAGAAAGAGCTGCAGCCAACTCCGCTTCAGACGCCGTCTTTGTTGTTTATGAGAAACTGGGCGTCACGGTGTGTGGCGAACGCTGCTTGGCACCGATTGGCTCGGTTAGAATTCTCAGGGCGTGGGGTTATTTGAATGGAAGCGTTCCCAGGCCCTTTGCTTCCCATAAGGAAACACTGGCATGGCTGGCCAGGCTACCCAACCTCACCATGGCTAAGAGCTAGCTTGTGCTAGCAATCACAGAGAATTCATGCCATGCTAATGTTTGATTCCAGAGTTGTACAAATTAACTGGGAAAATGCATCTTTTTAGTTATAAGTCGAGAAGATAAATGAAATTTTAGAGTACTGAAAATCGGAATCGGCTCTAAAAACCAGGATTGGTGCTTCTCTAAATGAGACTTTACCATTTCTCATTTTTTCATCTTTTACTAACGGTCCCCATGTCTCCTGACAGGAGCAGGAGTACATCGATCCAGAAGATGAGTTGGAGGACTCATGTACAGACAAAGAAGAAGACCTGGGTGCTGTGGAGGAGGAGCGAAGCGTCATCCTACACCTGCTGTCTCAGCTGAAGCTGGGCATGGACCTCACACGAGTAGGTTCATTTCCATACTCTTCAAAAAAACATTATAGCAACGTTTTTTATTCTTATGCAACTCAAGGTAAGTAGTTTGTTTCCAAACTAATGACCATAATTTCCAAATTAGATTGATTTGGGCAAAAAAATGATCTGCGTTCAAAATTTTCAAACAACAATTCATCCTGAGATAGAGATGTTCAAATTGAATAAAAATTGCTTAGTTTTAATTTCAATAAGTCCCTCAACATCAATAATATTTGTTTCTTTTACGAAAAAAGCACAGTGACGTCACACAGGTAAGGACTCGACACCAAGTGCCACTGTTAGCTAGGGATGCACCGATACCACTTTTTTCCAAACCGATACGATACCGATACTTGTTTCTGGGTGCTCGCCGATGCCGATTACCAATACCGATACTTCTACCACACAAAAAAAAATGCAATGATTTGGAATACAGATTTTATTTTCTTCTCTGCTTTAAATAGGAAAAGACTGTGAGGTAGATAAAAAGTAAAATATATGAATGGAAATCATCACAAAACTAAAATATTAGGTGAACAGAAATGACAAGTTACAGTGAAGCCATTTTCAAGCAACTGCATTGGTATCGGTTCCTGGTATCGGTTAACTTTCACTGATACTGGAATTAGTATTGGTATCGGCACCGATACCAGTATCGGTATCGGTGCATCCCTACTGTTAGCAAGCCTGCTAACACAGAGCTAACGTGTCTCTTCAGGAGAGCTAAAATATCTGCAGCTTGGTGGTGTTTAAACCGGACAGCAGAGGCAGAACTACAGACACTTAGAATGTGTGCATACCGAGCGTCCGTCAAGTTTGAAAGGACAGCTCCATGGTTCGCCACCTTCAAACAAGCTACTTTTGCTGTCTGCTTTTCCCTTCGGGCATCAACAAAGCAAATCACCGGTCTTTATTAATCCCCAGTTTACCTCTAACAGTCACAGTTCACTGTGAAGTCAGACACAAAACGTGGAGCCAGCCAACAGAGAAAGTTACGCTAATAAACAAAAAGAAATTGCCAACAGACTGCAAAACATCAGGGTTTCTAGTTCTGCTACAACACCGGAGCTGTGCGCTGGAGCTACAGGTGTTCTGCAGAGAAAAGTTACCCTGCCTGCCTAAGGCTCCGTCTGCCTGCTCTGTCGTGTGAACATGCATTTCTCTATACAGCTGCATATTTTGGGAGTAAACAACTTGAAATAAGAGCATCATTGCTGCTTTAAAGTTTATTCAATATAGAAACAAGTTTTTAAATCAGTGTACTTCCTGAAAAAATGAAAGTGAAACTTAAAGGACAATTTAGATGTGTTTTCTTCTTATTTTAATACTTTCCTGATTTGTGTTCACCCTTTTTCTCTTATTTTAATGCTTTGCCAAAAAAATGTTATTTATTTTTTATTATTTTAATGCTTTTCTGAAAAGTGTCGGATCGTGAGTTGGTATTCAAATCAAATCAAAGATACTTTATTACTCCCAGAGGGAAATTAGAGTTTCAGTACATACAATTCAGAGATCAGACGAACATAGGCATAGACACATGACAAGAATTGGTGACTGTGGTCATTCGCAACCCTGAGTCGCGCTACCTTAATAGAGATGAGAGGTTTACATGAGGATTGGTTCAGGTGGAGGGAAAAAAAGGCACTTCAAAGTTACCCTCCCTCCAGGAGGGCAGCTTTGCTCTGCAAAAAAAAAAAAAAAAAACACCTCAGACAGAATTGCAACAGATTTCAGACAACACAACATAAGTGTACACTAGGAGGGGTGGTAGGTTGGGACTATCCCCACTTCAGTTCCTGCAACCACGATGAAGCAGCGCATGTCACCTCAGTGTGGATAGGGGGGAGCATTTAGGGTTGGACGGTTGCAGTGACCCTGGATGCTTCAGCAGGCTTCCCGCTGTCCCGCCCAGGCTGGGAAAGGAGGCAGAGTTGAGTTGCCTTAGCGACGGCACATTCCGGCATATTGGCAGATAGTCAAAATCAAATGACTCGGAATCGGATCGGGAGCAGCAAAACGTGTTTTTTAGAGAAGTCCAAGAAACAGCTGAGATAAACGCGCATCTCCAGTGTTCACTTTCACATTTCTATTAAAGGGACAGTAACATTAGGCCACAACCGCTTTTACAATAGCCCCTTATGGATCATTAGATTGTTTAGAGATATTTTCAGATGTTTACAAAGCTTCTGGGCAATAAGTCAAAAATGTATAGTTATAATGTCTGACTCTTATCGAGATAATTTTCCCCATGTCAATTAATTTGATAATCAAAACAAATGAAAAGAAGTGTGTTGGTGTGCAACCTTAACCGTTAAGCCGTAACACCTCTTCACATAAAAATGTGACTCAACTTAATGACAGCCCCATCTAGTGGACAACTTTTGTTTCTGCGCATACCTGTAGTTATCGTCCATTTATTGTTATCAAGGTGAAATCCTCAGTTTATCGCGATTTTGATTTTAGATCATATCGCCCAGCCCTACTTCAAATACATCCTCCACAGAGAAAGAGAGCGAAGGAAAAATAAATTTTTGATGTTTAAAAACCAGATGTGGGCTTGTAAGTTAATTCTTTGTAATGTGTTGAATTGTTTCAAATTGCATCATGAATTGTATCGAACTGAAAATTGTTGTCAAATCAGGACTAAATCGTCAGCAGGGACTAATTGAACTGTTTCTGCAGAGGGTTTCACCGAATGGTTAATGTATCGAGATGAGAGTAGAATCAGCCTCAGTGGTGGAGATTCACATCCCTGGTACACACGTCCAAGTACTCATGCGGTGGTTCCTGAACTTTATAGCTTCAGACCAACAAATTAACACTTGCAATGTGTGAATGTGTGTGTGAATGGGTGAGTGACTGACTGTGTTGCGAAGCGCCTGGGGGGTTGCAGAACCTCAAGCAGGCACTATACAAATTCAGGCCATTTAAAAATTAAAATAGTCATGTTTTTGGCAACAAAATCTGCTCCACGTGATGGTTTTAAAATAAAGAAAAAATATATATATATTTTTTAGAAGTTTGAAAATGAAAATTAAATTGTCTTTTAGCGAAACTGAAACATAACTGTGGCTTATCGTCTCAAATGACCTTAATTCTCAGCATATCTTGCCTGGGAGTTAAATTCTATCCTATTACAGCGGTGTTATATTGTTTTTGCTAAAGCTTGTCCAGTATTGTGGCTTGTTGGCATAGCTGTAGCATTTTGTTCTGGTGAAACTCCTTCCTGAAAGACAGAAACCTATCCAGAAGCTCCAATAAGTGTCCAAATTTAGATCCAGGGATGAATTTCTACGTGTGGTGTTGAGTTAAATCAGTGTTCAGAGTTATTTTCTGGACTGTTTGCCAAGAGAGGGATCATTTGGTTACAAACTGTAATAAGCACGTGTTGCTCTGTAACCACAGATCCAGAACACCTTGGACGAACATTCAATCCTCCTCTCAGATTTCTGATTTCTCACCATTATCTGTGTCTCACTGACCTCGGGGTCGCCGAGGTGAAGCGATGCAGGGCTGCAGAAAAAGTGGCAAATAAAGATGAGTGTGACTGTTGTTCTTCCAGGTGGTCCTCCCCACTTTCATCCTGGAGAAGCGCTCTTTGCTGGAGATGTACGCAGACTTTATGTCCCACCCAGACCTCTTTGTTGCAATTGCCGATGGCAGCAGCCCTGAAGACCGCATGGTCCGGTTCGTAGAGTATTACCTCACATCCTTCCATGAAGGCCGCAAAGGCGCCATCGCCAAGAAGCCATACAACCCCATCATTGGTGAGACGTTCCACTGCTCTTGGAGGGTTCCCAGGAGACCAGACCCCTCCAAGGAACCATTGCAGGAGAGTCCAGAAGTTGTCGCCCCCATTCAGGAGCCATTGCACCTCCGTTTTGTGGCTGAGCAGGTATCCCATCATCCACCTGTGTCTGGCTTCTACGCCGAGTGCCAGGAGAAGCAGATTTGTGTGAACACACATGTCTGGACCAAGAGCAAGTTCATGGGGATGTCTATCGGAGTGTCCATGATTGGAGAGGGTGAGTGAACCAGGTCTTCACACAAAACCTGACTCAGGTCATGGTGAGCTTCAGTTCAGGGAAACGGGGAGCTCTTTTGTTAGATTGCTGAAGGAATTTAATCTCAGATTTTTGGAGGCCTTCTAACCTGAGAAATACTTTTGAATGACGTGGAACGCGCAGAACGTTTTGCATCCATGCATCTCTCATGGGGGGTGGGGTTAATGTCATCGCTGTAGCGCAGCGCCATGCCTGAGCATATGTAGGGGAAACACAGCGGGCACGGAACACTAACCTCTTCTGCCAGAACTGGAAACCCACATTGCCAGAGGAAACGAGATGGCGCTAAACACCAGTCACTGTTTTCTAGGTCCAAACGTCTTTCGTTGTCCGTGACTTCAAATGGTGTTTTTCATTTTGGGACTCGGGTAGTTTGTCCTAAAGTTGTAGCAGCCAGATGTTTTTCCTTCTCTGATATTACTGAGCGGAGAACATCACACCGGTGGTGTTCTGTTGCTAAATACGTGTGCGTAATGAATGGAGGACCCAGGGAAATGCGGTGGTTTGGGCAGACCGACAACCAGATGGTCCAATAGTTGTTTTCGGTCTGAAATTTGTTATTGGTGGAGGTTTTTAGCCAAATGTGAGAGAACTGCTTCATTATTTTAATCTCCACAATATATTTATAGCTATAATATGTTAGAACGTTGGTAAGAAGCATGAAAACACAGTTTGGTAACACTTGGCAATAAGGGTCCCTTTATTAACATCACTTAATGCATTAATAATCAAAGGGTGTCTATATTAACGTGCCTGGTCTTGTTCAATCAATCAAACTTTATTTATAAATTACTTTTCATGCAAAGCAAGCAACACAAGTGCTTAACAGATTAAAATGACCCATTTAGCCCACATTCCCTGCCTTTCCCACACTTAAAACAATTATGACAGTTTCACCCCCCAATCCACAAACCATTCCCAGGCACACAGACACACACACTCGTACGCATAACGCATTAAAAGACCACAGTAAACACTAGGCTGAGCTCCGATTGGACAGTCAATGAAAGACATATATTTTACCAAATGTTAAATATTAATTGTGCTTTAGGATAGGACAAGGTGCCAGGAGTGTATCTGCATAGTAATATATTACATATTATGGTAAAGTAGTTGTTAATACTGTATTTAATAGTTTATTAAGGCGTATTAGTGCGCTAACGTTATTAAAGGGAACCTTATTGTAAAGTGTTACCAAATTAGTGATGGGATTTATGGCACTTTCATGGGAACCGTTCATTAGTCGGTCGTTAACCTCAAAGAGCCGTTAGTTGGGGTTGGTTAGGGTTCCTCCTACGTCGTCACAACGGTGGGTGGGGTTTGAGCGGGTGCGCTTGACCGACTCCCGGGGAGGTTTGTTACCGGAAGACAAGACAAGATGAACGGCTCTCTACAGGGACTCGGCTCCCATCGTTCACTTTGAAAACTCGTTCAAAAGATTCGATTCGTTTGTGAACGTCACATCACTATACCAAATGTTTTAAGCTAATTTGTTTTCCAAATTTGCTAGAACAGCTTTAAGTATAGAATTTAGTAGAAAAAATTTTAAATTTACACCTTTTAGTATCAAGTCTGGTTGTGTGCTGCTAATTTTAGCTCTAAAAGAGAAGTCAATTTGGGCACGTCGGAGATTTACAGAATTTTGTGCAGTTCTCCAAAATTTCGGAGATTGAGCCTTTTTTTTTTTTTTTTTTTTTTTTACAAAAGACGAATCTAGGTATATTTATTGCTCCTGCTAAAGTACATTTTAAGTCAGTATCTAGATTTCCTAAAGCACTTAGACCAGCTAATTTATATTTAACAGTGTCTGTAAGTAATTGATGAGCTTTTAAGGGAGACCGGTGGAAAGAGCGAGGATCGAGTTCACGGGTTCTCTTACCAGAGCGGATTAGAAAGGTATTTGGCATTTAAAGAAAATCTTTTTAGTGTTTGTTTTCCTCCCACCCCCCAGGTTGTCTGCATCTGCTGGAGCATGACGAGGAGTACACCTTCACACTGCCCTGTGCCTACGCCCGCTCCATCCTCACTGTTCCCTGGGTGGAGCTGGGCGGAAAAGTCAACATCAGCTGCAACAAGTCGGGCTACTCGGCCGTCATCACGTTCCAGACTAAACCCTTTTATGGAGGGAAGCTACATAAGTACGCATCTGCTGTGGTACAAGTTCATTTACTCCAAATCCAGTGTTAATTCCCTCTTCCTGTGTTTGATAATCAGGGTAACGGCGGAGGTGAAGCACAACGCCACCAATGCGGTGGTGTGTCGTGTGCAGGGCGAGTGGAACGGAGTGTTGGAGTTCAGCTACACCAGTGGGGAGACGAGGGTGGTGGACGTCACCAAGCTACCCGTAACGAGGAAATGCGTTCGGCCGATCGAGAAGCAGACTCCCACTGAATCCAGGTCAGATCGCGCCTCAGAATTAATGTTTGTGGTGTCGCCGGATGATACACAACAAGCCTTAAAAGTGCCGTTCAAAAGCTGTAAACTCACATCACTCCCCTTGTTGCCCTCTGACTGGAAATTACATGCAAATGCAGCATTTTACTTCATTATTAATACAGTGAGCGCTTAAACACTAGCATCAACAGCTATTCTTCCAAGTGCAACCAGTATACGTCGTCACCCCCAGAGTGCATTGCATGCGGAAAACATGGCGTCCTACGTGTCAAAAATGTACTAAATATTATAGATTTATAAATAAACGGCAATACTTTGTGTGTTTCTAACATAGTTTGGTACAACAGAAAACTTGTGGCTTATTAGGACACACACGTCCTCATAGCTGGAGTTCCTTTTTAAATAGGATTTTCAAAATAAAAGCTTCCATGTAGATAATCTGTGGTTTCTAGCATGAATTGGCACTTATTAATGGTGTGTTCAAAAATTGAAAAAAAAAAATTATGTTCCTTGGGAAATAAATCTGAGTTGTAAATTTAGATTAGCTTTTAGAAGCACCCTGTAAACTTATTTTATGTGGCTCTGCCCGTTTGGATACAGACGCCTGTGGCAGCACGTGACAGAAGCCTTACGAGTGAAGGACATCGAAAAGGCCACGGAGCACAAGAGGATCCTGGAGGAGAGGCAACGGACGGAGGAGAGGCACCGCATGGAGACAGAAACACCATGGAGGACCAAATATTTTGACCGAGAGGCAAGAAACACAAAAATTCTTAAAACACTCAGATTCATAAGATAATTAAACACTGACTCCAGTTTCTCCTCCGCCCTGCAGGGCGATGGTTGGATTTACCGTAAACCACTTTGGAAAGACTCTTCATTCAAGTCCTCTACAGTCTTCTAATGAACCGAGGAGCGTCTGTGTGCACATGTGCATGCAGATCACAGCATGGCCTGCAGAGGGGGAGAGAGAGAGAGAGAAGTGTTGATGATTCTCACAGACAGAATAAAGGTTTTGTACTGCTGATCTGTGTTTTTTACAAGGTGCGATATCGATGAAAGCATATTCCTGTACAGGTACTCCCAGCCTTAAGACAGTCGAATGATGAATGATGACTCCGCCTGCTATGGTTCCTTTTTCTCATTTTCTTTTTGTGCCCCCCCCCCCCCCCCCCCCCCCCCATTTGTTTTCCATTCAGTTCCTACTGTTGAGATTTACTGGATATTATTTAAACACACTTCATTTCAGCACTAGTCATTCTGGGGCTTTGTAAACATTGATTAGTCTTACTTTCTGACTCACAGCAGCATATTTGAGCAACGTGGAGGTGAAAAGGTTGAATTCTAAGAAAGAAAGATCAAAACTCAAATATTTCTAGGATTTTAGTCATAAAAATGTAAAAGAATTGTACTTTTGTTTTTTTCTCCATAAACACTCCTTTAAAGGGATATTCCACCCCAAATTGAAAATGTGTCTGTTGCCATATTTCCCAGAGATAAGTGGGAAAAAATGTTTACAACCAGCCCAGTCATTCTCCTGACCCGGCTGTGCTGCTTTAGCGTTAGCTTAGCATAAAACACAGTAAGTGAATGGATCCAACTAGCATTGTGAGTAAAAACGTCCTTAAAATCACTCGGTAGTGATCCCAATTCTGCTGGGTGACCTAAATAATCAGACTGACTGCAAGTGAAAATAATTAGTAACATGAAGGAATCACAGGTGCAATTTTAGACTTGGGACTACTTTATGACAAAGCACAACTGTAAGCCTCCATTTAAAGGCAGCTTCTAGGGCACCTGCTTCCATTAACACAAATGCAACACACACCAGTGGAGCTCCAGTTGCTTCTCTGCAAATGCAACGTGTCTATTTTTTCTTTCGCCGACATCACGTGTGTGTGTGTGTTTTATGGTGGTTCGGTTTGCATTTGCGTTTCCAGAAGCGAGTGTCTTTGGGGCTGCCTTGCACCTTTCAGCGGAGGCTTACAGCTGTGCTTTGTCATAAAGTTTAAAATGGCGCCTGTGATTCCTTCATGTCACCAATTATTTTCGCTTGCAGTCATACTGATTATTTATGTCACCCAGCAGAATTGGGATCATTACCGAGTGATTTTAAGGACGTTTTACTCACAATGGATCCATTGTTCATTGGATCCATTCACTTACTGTGTTTTATGCTAAGCTAACGCTAAAGGAGCACAGCCGGGTCAGGAGAATGACTGGGCTGGTTGAAAACATTTTTTCCCACTTATCTCTGGGAAATATGGCAACAGACACATTTTCAATTTTGGGTGTAATATCCCTATAATCTTGGAATATTTGGATTTTTTTTTTCTTATTCACGAGTCTCTAATATGATATTCTTCCACAGTGTAGTATATCTGCTATAATCTCTAATTCTAAAGGAAGAGATCATCCAGATTACAGTGTTTTCATCAATTATTTCCCCCTTGTTCTGCCAGAAAACACTTAGTTTGCCTGATTATTAGCAGCTTAAACATGACATGGTTTATAAAAGATTATTTACTAATGTAACTGTTGCAAATAAACACTTTAGTGTTTATAAATCATTTATAGCACATTTGTGTTCAGCTAATTCTACTTTTTGTTTATTAACGAATAAAAACCAATCGACCCTTTAACCAGGCAGCATCTTTTCTGAATGTTGCTAAAATCTACAAAGGCCCATTTCTGTCACTAAAAAGAGAATGATTTTCACTTTGAATGTCATAAATATGACTTTGAAACTCAAAAATATAATTTTGTATCTTGTATTTTGCACTTTCAATGTCACGATTGTGACAAAAATTCACATAATTTTGACTTTGAAACTCATTTACTTCAGTATTTACCTGTTTGAAAATCATAGTTTTGACAAATATTCAAATAAGGATTTTCAAAGTTAAAATTATTTGGATGTCATAATTTAGATTTTTCATATGATTATCACTTGGAACGCTGTAAGTACGTCTGCATTATAGCAAAGACTTTGTATCTCATAATTCTAACTTTGAAAGTCGTAATTATGGCTTTGAAAGTTAAAGAACTATTTAAAATCATAAATGGATAATATTTCATAACTGTCACCCATAAATCATAGCTTCTCATTTTTTGTGGAAAACGTGACAAAAACGGGCTCTTGCAACATTCATTCGTCACCACATTTCCTTGAGTTGCGTTAATTTGCAGTATTTTTGAGAGAAAGCAGCTCATTTATTGATTGTTTGAATGCTGTTGATATGAACATATATTAGCTACACCGATTGAATGGCATGCCCTAGATTAGCTGGTAAAGTTCAACATTTTTATTAAAGATTAATACAAATATGGAAATTGCGTGTGAATGCATCTAAGTTTATCCCCAGTCGGTGTATCTCTTTTTGTTTTTTGGGTGCGTGACGTACAGATGTCATTTTGATTGCACCAAGTCTCTAACTGTTCATTTTTCTTGTGAAGCTTTTAACCAAATTAGATGTCTTTTTTTTTTTTTTTGGGGTAACACAATAAATATTTTCCTTAAACACGTGGTTATCCTGCATCCTGTGCTTTAATCGCTCTTATTTTCAGAGCTGCTTTTTTGTATACAAACTCTTTGTTGCATCAGTGTTTCCTGATTTCTTTAGCAGTTTCTTTTTATCATCCAATTCCCATCAGAAACTCTTAAATGCACCCTGCCATTGATAAGCTACTCCCACTCAGTCTTGGTGCCTTATGCTGTGTTTTATGTGTATCTCTTCAGCGTTTTCATCCCTAATCCACCCGACCGATGCACTGATGTATGTTTTTTGTTTCTGTTTTTACTTTTTAAAAGACTGGTGATCAAGCTTGGCAGACTTCAACTTGAGCACCTTTTATTCCAGTTTTTGGTCATTCTGCTTTCTGATTTCTACCCTATGAAATGCACTGATGTTGAAGGAAACCTGATGTAGAAAAATGTGTGATGATACTCAAATAAAGTTGCATATCACCTGTAAACGGTCTTCATAAATGTTCTGTTGTAGGATTATAGCGTGTTACTAAAATGTCTCATGAGCAGCTGGATGGATTTTAAGGTGGCTTGTGAAAAGTAACCATTGGATGAACACCTAATGAACTGATTAACCTTTGGAATGGACCTACTGAAAGATGGCTGCCATAGATAACCTTAACACAGAAATCGCTGTAGTGCCTGTTATGGTCAAATCATTACTTACTCCTCGTTAAATCAGCAGTTTGTTTTTGCCAAACACATGAAATTAATATAGTCTTGTCTCGTCTTCCTCCGCTTATCCGGGTCCGGGTCGCGGGGGCAGCATCCCAACTAGGGAGCTCCAGACCGTCCTCTCCCCGGCCAGCTCCTCCAGCAGGACCCCAAAGCGTTCCCGGACCAGACTGGAGATGTAACCTCTCCAACGTGTCCTGGGTCGACCCGGGGGCCTCCTGCCAGCAGGACATGCCCGAAACACCTCCCCAGGGAGGCATCCTGACCAGATGCCCAAACCACCTCAACTGACTCCTTTCGATCCGGAGGAGCAGCGGTTCTACTCCGAGTCCCTCCCGAATGTCCGAGCTCCTCACCCTATCTCTAAGGCTGAGCCCGGCCACCCTACGGAGGAAACTCATTTCGGCCGCTTGTATCCGTGATCTCGTTCTTTCGGTCATTACACAAAGCTCATGACCATAGGTGAGGATTGGGACGTAGATCAACCGGTAAATCGAGAGCCTGGCTTTCTGGCTCAGCTCCCTCTTCACCATGACAGATCAGCTCAGCGTCCGCATCACTGCAGACGCCGAACCAATCCACCAGGCACGTGCGGGGGTGGGGTGGGGGGGTGTGGGGGCGGGATGGGGGGGGGCTTGAGACCCTGCCCCTTTTGTCCCATGTGCCCAAAGTGCCCTTTTTGAGGTTTAATTATATATATATATATATATATATATATATATATATATATATATATATATATATATATATATATATATATTTTTTTTTTTTTTCAATTTTTAAAAAATGTTTTAAAGAATTTTTTGTTTGTGCCCCCTCAACAATAACAAAAATAATAATTAATAAAATTTCTGTTTAATAAAGTTATATAGCTGGCGTGAGTTACGTGACCATACCATCTCTTCCTCATGCCAGAGCGCACAGCCGGTTACAACAAGCTGCAAGCACCCACGTTTTCTTCATGGCCGAGCGAGTGGTGCAGAGCTTTTAGGACATGCATATTGATTGGGAGAAACGGTCTAACACCGGTAAGTAGGATGCACACTACTATACACAGTTATTAGATTATTCTGTACATTATTAAGTTGTTTTGTGGCACTAGGTGTGTGTGATATATTACTAGCTGGGTGTGTGACTGTGGCTGGGTACCTATTCTGAACCTCAGTAGCTTTAGGATTAACCAAAAACATTCTGTACATAAGTACTTGTACGAAAATATTTTTTCAATCTTAAATATTGGGAATTTGCCAATAAAATGTCATTGTTGTTAACTAGGTACCGCAAAGTTGCATTCCTATTGCTGCTGCGTGTCACGTGACTGGGGTCTCACACAGCCCTGCTTCTTGTTTACTGAATCACTTCCTGGTTCGCAGACTGATAAAACTTGAACAAATTTTAAATTTAGCTACCTTTTGTGAAAGGAAATAAGAAAAATACTAAAGGTAACATCCGTCACAAGTTTTGTGTTACAAAATATTCAGTCCTTGTCTGTTAATTCTGTCCAGCGTTTTAGGGAACATAGTTTTGTTTTAGATTTTAAGGTTTCTCAGCCCTTCTGGTGGGTTTTATAGTTCACTAATATACTATGCATATTCTCAAAATTTTGGAGTTTATATTTGCTCTCTTTTTGAATGCATTGTATTAAAAACATTATGTTTTAAAGATGTACAAGTAAAAAAAACTACTGTTTTCACAGCAAAATTATTTTATCTGTACAGTTCTCTGTTTTGCACAAAGTTGATAGTAAAACTGAATGAAAGCATAAACATTGTTTTATTCTTTATTTTTTATTATAATTACTAAAGCACTATGATTAAAATAGTATGGAAATATTCTGGATCAGCATCATGAAGCAAATTTGTGGCCAAATTATATACATTTAGTTTTCTGGAAAAGGAATGAAATGTCCCAGTATGTGTATGCATGAGTTTTATATGCATGAAAAAATATTTGTAAATTAATTATGATATATCATTGTACAGACATGCCTCGTAAGGAGAGGAGGCGGAAGCAGCAACAGAAAGAGCTACATGAGGCAGCTAAAGGCAGTGGGTCCCTCACCAGCTGGATAAAAAAAGAGTACAGGTAAGTTGCATCACAGCAACAAGTGTAGAAACAATAATATATACAACTGCAATGTTTTGATGCCAGAAAATGGTTTTTGTTAGCTACTTGATCATGGATCAGGTGCAAGACCTGTTAAATGTGAATAACTACATAATTCATTCATACAATAGCTAATTTGGCCTTGTTCTCTGATGGGCAGCAAGTGGAGAGTGATATATCACATGAGGAGATTGAAGACACACACACACACACACACACACACACACACACACACACACACACACACACACACACACACACACACACACACACACACACACAACTCTTTCTGTTTATATTTCTGTCACATTCTTATCTCTGACACAAACTCCTCTATTATCCACTAATGTTTAGATTTCCATTAATTCACCACAGGTGTTGTCTCAGATAGTTCTGTCTTACAGTTCTAAGAGTTTTCACCAATTTTTGCCTTTTTTATTATCTTACATTAATTTTGTAATTGACTAACATTTCTCCTCTGTTCGTTTTACTACCTACAGTTTGAGATCAACACAGCCTTGCCCTCCAGCATCAGCAGCAAGAGGAGCAACCCTGCAACAGCTATTGTACCCCATCATCAGGTAAAATAGGACAGCAATAGATCAGGAGGTGGAGCATGTTGTCCAGTAATAAGAAGGTTGCAGGTTTGATCCTGACTTCAATCAGAGATTGATGCTGTTGTGTCCTTGGGCAAGACACTTAACCTGCTTTGCCTGCTGGTGGTGGTCGGAGGGACTGGTGGTGCCTGTGCTCAGCAGCTTCACCTGTCAGTGCGCTCCAGAGCAGCTATGGCTACATCATAGCTCATCACTATCAGTGTGTTAATGTGTGTGTGTGTGTGAATTTTGTTGTAATGTGCCTTGGGGGGTTGTAGAACCCTAAGAAGGCATTATACAAATACAGACCATTTACCAAAACAAGTTACTTTTGCTTTACATTGTCCTTATGTGGTAAGGGTGTATATAATGATTTGCTTCCTGTTTGAATTTCTAATAAATATGATTTGTTATTCAGCCGGGTATACTGTGGTTATGTCATGATGTTTGAAAATATTATTCTGTGTGCCCCTTTTTAAATTTGAGCACCCGCCCCTTCAAAGGTCTCTGCACAGCCCTGCAAACCACCCTTTTCCGGTTTAATATAAACTATAACTGTTTATTTTAAAGAGTAAAGATTTTATCATGTAGTCAGTCACTGCAAGGCATCCATGAAATATACAATCGCAGAGGGAAAGTATTCACATGTATTACTTAAGCCTGATTCATGCTTCTCCGTCAGCTCCGCAAGGGACAGACGCACGGATTGACGGAAGCGTTTTGCTCTCATACTTCTCCGTCTCCTGGGGAGTGTTGCAAAACAATTCCCCCACCAAGACAACAGAGGGCGTAGCGCTGTTCTGTGGTATCCTGTCATGTATCCGGTCCAAGATAGTGGCCGTGTTCGAGATGAGCCAGTTCTGCGCAGATTAGACCAGCGGTGATCGGCAAGCAGTGCATGCCGGTTAGATTTGTGTCCGACTTGATGCCGACTTGCTCTGACGTCATGCATACGTAGGCAACGATAACCTCATGAGATCAAGGCAGCCGCAGATTTTGGAGCAAGGCGCTGCAGTTGCTCTCCCTCGGCTGCAAAACCTAGGGGATGATGGGAAACGCCTGGCTCTCACCTGATCTAAGATCTGATTGGTTCATATTTGGATCCAAACATCCGGTGGTAGAACATGAAATGTTAGTTGGTCACATGTATTCTGTAAATCATGTAACGTTGATGATGACAACTATCTAGGCCATAAAGAGAAACGTGTTTTGTATTCTTTTGTCACGTTTCCTATGAGCACACTAAACCTACAGTGGATAACCTTTACTTATTATTACAGTCATGTCTCCATTTACAATATACGATATCCACAAGCACGTGAGGATGTGTTTCAGCTGCTAACAGGCACCAGAATTAAAATTGAAAATTAAACAAGTGTGAACGCTCACGCGATATCTTCATCCATCGTCACCCCCAAGCTACACATGTAGGGAAATCTGTCCGACTTACGTCGGCTTTCAGCCACTTCCCCTGCTGCTTCCGCCTGCTCTCGTCTGTTTTCCAGGCGAGGCGCAGCTCAACTCGAACACGGCCACTGTGTTTATGTTTTTTTGTATACAAGACTTTTTAACACAGACGAATTTGTCTCTCATCCTCCTCCACCTCTTCATGCGCTCCCCGCCTCTAAACCCACGTTTCCTGTCATTTCCATCCACAAATAAAACGCTTGCTGCGCATCTTCACTCCTCCAGTCACGGGGGAATTAAACGTTCATGTTTTTAGTTTGTTCGTGTAGAGAAATAGAGTGATGTAACTATCTAGAGTTGTATTTTAATATACTGTAAGTAGATCACTTGTTATAATCAGAAGATGGGCTGTTTTTATCATCAGGGAGTTTAATTAAACACTCTGTATTGACTTTGAGACAAGAAAAGAGAGAGAGTTGGGATCGTTTAAGAATCTTTAATTTCTTAATTATAAATTCTTAACAATCTATCAGGACTAACTCTGTGTTGTTTGGAAATGAATGTGATGTTCGATGTGTGTGTGTGTGTGGTTGGTTCAGACTCCTTAGGCTGACGTCATTGAATCTGGTAGTCTTTGATTGCTATGACTAGATATCACGAGGCTTATAAAGTGATGACATGAGCTGCTATTTTGCCGTGTACGTACCCAGTGGGGGCCTCCCAGGTAGATCAGGAAATGCCAGGTCTGAAGACCTCGGATGTGCGCTGGAGCTGGTCGAAACAGCGATCGCAGCGTTTCAAAGCCCGTCTGAAGGGTCGACCCAGGTAACAATCGGCAGCGTCAGCAGGTGCTCTTATTTTGAAAGGATGTCGTCTGGTTGTTAAACGACGAAAATCTCCAACTTTACAGTTCTTAGTTTAAAGAAGAAAACACATCTGGCCAGACTGTGCTTTTCTTTGGGATGACGGTGAACAGAACTGAAGTCAAAATGGAACTGAACTTAAAATGGCGTTGCCTTGTTTTATATCTCTGAATTGTTGATAAGTTTTAGTAAAGCGGATTGGACACTTTAAGTCAACAAGCCAGATTCTCTTGCAGCAGCTGAAAGCTCTGATTGGTTGGAACAATGTGTCATGCGTTTCTATGGAGATGAGGGTCAGTCTGTCTGTGCAGTAGTCCTGTTTTCATTAAACACATAAATCATGACATCTTTATTCCACAGATCATTCACTTGATTATTATTGATCAACTTCTGGTTCGACTAGCTTTAATCACAAATTAAGTACTTTGATTATTGAAAAGCGTTCTTCTTCTCCTTCTGGCTCTTCTCCTGGAATGTAAACAGTCTGAGGAACACCCGACCTTGGCGTTTTCTACACGGGTGTTACTGTGTACAGGGGCAGCTGTGTGGAGCTGAAAATAATGAACTTCATAACTTTACATTCGCGAGGTATTCTTCAAGCTGCTCCGTGTCTGCCGCTAGTTATCCTCGGCTCTCTTTATGTTTTTGAGGGTGCAATGGCGGCGGTGTAGACGACAGCGGCGTCCTGACCAATCACAAGCTTGTGTTGTCCGTCTCGACTGATGGATGTTTAGAAAAGAGAGCTCGAGTCCGTCCGTCCTTGCAGAGCTCTCCGGCAGGCCCGCTAGGACGTTGCGTGTCTCCGCACTGACGCAGACGGAGAAGCATGAATGAGGCTTTAGGTAGAGGTATTGTGGTTTAAAAAGACGTGTCAAAGTTCAAGTATCAATTCAAGTTTTTTACTTGAGTTGAAGTAAAAACATTATGGTTTCAAAACTATTTAACACTAGAACTACCAGGATTTTCTGACCCCTTCAGCTCTACCAGAGGTAGCCAAATGGCTCCTTGGTTGGAAAATCACAACTCAATCACTGACAGTTAGCTGCCTTTCATTTGCCTTCCATTTCATTTGTGCTCTGCACAGATAATGGCTACATTGGAATGTGGAAGAATGTTGGGGAACTTGAAATATTTCAGTCATTTAGGTTGGCCTGACTCTTTTGCCCTGGTAGAAAATGATTCCCAAGCCCTTTTTACAAGACACACTGTGCCGGCAAATCAGCGTAACATTAATGCAACCGTGCGTTTGCAGCGAATTTTGCTGCATTTGTTGCGCCTCGCTTGGTAGTAATGTTGCGGTAATTGTCTGTCCTATGAACAGTGATTGCACCTTGGCACAACAGAGGAAGATGTCAAATGACGTAGCAAATGTGTGGCGACCCCTGACCAGAAAGAGTATGTAAACCACGTAAACATGGGAAAGTTGGTAAACAACCAGCGGACATGGCTAATTGGAGTGACAACGAGATCTGTGAACTTCTGTCTTTACGAGCAGAGGCAGAAGTAGCCAGACAATTCTCAGGAACTGTGACGGACAGCCACCTCTTTGAGGGTTTGTCTAAAAAATTCAAGGGGCGTGGCTTCAGCCGAGACAGAGAACAGATCACGTCAAAACATTGAAGAAGTTTCACTTTTCACAGTTTCTTTTTACATGTAACTGCAGCCAGGTAACCTGAAAAATAAATTCTGTTCAGATTTAGCTGATCACCTGAAGCCTTTTCAAGAGTCTTGCTTGTTTTCAACACCTGAAAAGCAGCTTCATCACAGCTGTTATGAACCTTCTTTTGGAACCTGGACATTCGAAGCCTGCACTGCAGTTAATCTGCATTATTCCCCCACAACTGTTTGAGTTGCAACACAGAGCATTCACAAAAGGCTTGTGCATTTGAAGGAAGGTTTGTTGTTATAATAAAACCATAATGCTTTCTTGGATTGCCTGAGCATTTTGTGGCCCTTTTGTAAAAAGGGCTTCTGTTGAATCTGGTCAACTGAACTTGCCCACCCAAAATAACTTATGACGGACTTTGTGAAGACTTTAGATAAGCTCACAAGTTGTGAATGCAACATAAGCTATAAAGGCTACAAACATAGTAATAAAAAAACGTTTTACAGATGCCTGTATGCTCTGTCATTATTTCCTGCATGTAGCCTCTGACTGAAGACACTTGTTGAGTAGTCTTGTGTTTCTGTTTTTTCTCTAGCTGCCTCTTTACCTGACTGCTAGAAAAACGAGGCAGGAGGGGGAGGTGAGGGGAGCACCAGCATCTCCTGAAGTGATTTACAGAACAAAGGCGAACGTTCACAAGTGATTAAGAATGCTAGTTGAAAACAACGGTGCCAAATGGCGGCTCTATGTTGGATCCAGGGGGGGGTGTGGGTGGGGGGGGGGGGGTGGAGCCAATTGGCAGCTCTCTGGGAGTTCTAGTGTTAAACCATAAAGGTATAAGCAATGTAAATTAAAAAGTTAATTAAGATGCACTACAGAACTACTAGCCTGGTAAGCCATCCTATATATTAACCTAAAGGATCATCATGGAACACCATACAAATACGGTGTTTGGTGCTGTTTGGATCGCTGGCTGTAATGCACATAACACACAAGCTTGCAATGTAAAGCAGGAAAACACCTGACCCCTCCAGCTCGGCTGTGTGACTGCACTAACCTGTCCTGTGTGACCCTCACCATGTGACCCTCATGTCTATGCTGTCTCTGGAGGAGCAGATAGGAAACGAGATCTCCTGTAACTTAAATTGAATCAAAACTTCCTCCCAGTTTCTCTTTAAGTTGAATTTAACATCAGTTTATCATCATGAAACAAAAGAATAAAGTGGGACAAAAACTTCTATCTTCTATTTCTCTCTCCTTTTAACTTCTCCGTGTCCCTAAATAAAAGAGACCGATGAACTGCAGCCACCGCCGAAAACATCCCCCACACCATTACACCACCACCAGCCTGCACAGTGGTAACAAGGCATGATGGATCCATGTTCTCATTCTGTTTACGTCAAATTCTGACTCTACCATTTGAACGTCTCAACAGAAATCGAGACTCATCAGACCAGGCAACATTTTTCCAGTCTTCAACTGTCCAGTTTTGGTGAGCTCGTGCAAATGGTAGCCTCTTATTCCTATTTGTAGTGGAGATGAGTGGTACCCAGTGGGGTCTTCTGCTGTTGTAGCCCATCCACCTCAAGGTCGTGTGCGTTGTGGCTTCATAAATGCTTTGCTGCATTCCTCGGTTGTAACGAGTGGCTATTTCAGTCAAAGTTGCGCTTCAATCAGCTTGAATCAGTCGGCCCATTCTCCTCTGACCTCTAGCATCAACAAGACATTTTGGCCCACAGGACTGCTGCATACTGGATGCTTTTCCCTTTTCACACCATTCTTTGTAAACCCTAGAAATGGTTGTGGGTGAAAATCCCAGTAACTGAGCAGATTGTGAAATACTCAGACCGGCCCGTCTGGCACCAACAACTATGCCACACCCAAAATACCTTAAATCACATTTTTTCCCATTCTGACATTCAGTTTGGAGATCAGGAGATTGTCTTGACCAGGACCACGCCCCTAAATGCACTGAAGCAATTGCCATGTGATTGGTTGGTTAGATAATTGTGTTGAGAAGTTGAACAGGTGTTCCTAATAATCCTTTACGTGAGTGTATATGAAAATATATATAGACTGGCTCTGACCCATAGTCAGAGCTCAGTTGTAGAGGTGGAATCATTCAAGCGGTCTCTGCTTATGACTGGACAGAATAAGAACCAATCAGAGAAGAGAATGGTGTTGTCGTGTCCTTGGGCAAGACACTTAACCCACATTGCCTACTGGTGGTGGTTGGACGGACCGGTGCATGAGACATCCTACGCCAGGGCTATTTAATTTTGGGCCTCGAGGGTCGGTATCCAGCTCGTTTTATTTTTAACCCTGCTACAACACATCTGATTTCAATCAGCAGGTGATTAACAGGCTTCTGCTGAACCTGATGAGCTGCTGCACAGGTGATTCAACCACTGAATCATGTGTGTTGGAGCAACCACTAAAACTTGCTGAACACCGGCCCTCGAGGCTCGAACTTGAATAGCCCTGCCCTACACACTCATACCCTTGGTCAGGATTGCGCAGTTGAAGGGCACGTATTGGGACTCACTCTATGACAGAAATTGCTGCACCCAAAATACCAGGAAATGCAACACAAGATGATTCGGTGGTGTTAAAAGTGTAAATAACATTTTAAACCTACACTTAAATCCAGATTATTCAAAGCACTTATAGTCTCTATGATGTAGAGATCGTTTACTTTAATTTTCATGTTTTAAAAAAATATGTTTTATGATTCCTATGTTCTACTTCCAGAGAGACTGGTGTGGCAGCACCCTAGCGCCCCCTGTGGACAAGCCGCCACTGATACATACCCAAAATTCCTAAAAAAAAATCAATAAAAATAAAAAAAATTCTCAGAACATGTCATAATTTCAACTCACCTTATCCGGTGTTTGAACCTTCTATGTCGCATTGTTCCTTTCAAGTGCTCTGTGGCTCAAACCTTCCTTCTAATTTCCTGAAACTCAGATATTTCATTTTGTAGAAGAAAACTGCTCAAAACCACTGTAAACATTTGTTTATTTATATATTGCAGAAATACTTTACTTCAGTATACAGCAGAATAATTCTGAGTCTGAGCAAAAGACATTATACAACTCATTTAGAAAAGAAAACAATAATTTGACAAACCTAATACTGCCTCCTAGTGGCAGAATATAATCATTATAGAGTATTTAATTTGGGTTTGCAAATTAAACAGTAGATTCTTTTAATTTCAGACTTTAATATTTCATATCTCCTGCTGTGCATAAATTAATCTCTGTGTACACAAAATTAACAATCAAAAGAAAGACAGAAAAAGCAGCTATAATGACAAACACTCACAGTGCATTGGTGTGAATTATGGCACAAAAATTCAGCATGATCAACGACAAGACTGAAAGATCTGAATACTCCTGACACAGTCCTCGACCTGGAGGATTAAATTATCTGACATGTCGTGAATAATGATGCACATTCATTAAGGCATGAAATTATTGGGTGCTGATTTTAAATTAAAAATAACAGCTACATTTTGTCATATTTAGCTCCTCAAATAAAACATTTGGCGGGAAATTTCAATTTTAGATCTAAATGTTTAAAAATAAACTAAAAGTGGTAAAAATAAAAATTTAGAATAAAATCTAAATCTAGAAAGCTGTCTAAAGTTTATCTAAGTATAAAAGTGGTGGACTTAAAATATATATTTAACGAACACAAATTAAAACTGATGTATAATAAATTTAGCTCAAAAGTGAAGTGAAAGAATCCTCTATCTGATGTCTTAGCGTCTAGCATCCTTGATGGTAAGATTGTCAGAGTCCATTGAGCAGGTTGAATCTAAATAGGAAGCTGCAAGCAGCGTCGTTCAGCCCTCGCAGCGAAGCTGCTCGACCTCTGTCCACACCCCCTCCACTCTATCCCCGACGCTCTCCCATCCCACCGCCCTGCAACCAGTGGTTTACGAGCGCCCATGCGTGCCAGACGCCCCAGCGTCCATTAAACTGTGATCACTATGAGCTGTCACCTCAATCTGACTCAACCTTTCCTCCTTGCCTGCCAACAGTTCCCACTAAAAAGGCTTTACGTTAGCAAAATATTCCAGCTTCGAAAGAGACACTGTAGCGTAATTGGAACAAAATGGCTGACTTCTTGTGGGATTTGGAGCATGGCTCAATGAGACTTCTTTGTAGGCCCAGACACACTACATAAGTGTGCAAAATTTCACAACCCTCAGTCAAAGCATGACTTGGGGCTGAGATTTTTAATGGACCTAGGGGGCGCTAGTGTAAAAACAAAACCATGGCCACCAGATTTTCAGGTTATTGACGTTTGGATTTGTGTCAATCACCTGAATTTTTGTACCGATAACATCAGAATTGAGGAAATGAGAGGCAAACGTAATTCCATGGCGGGATGTCAAAATTCGCCATGCCCCCAAACCGCTGCTCTTTTTTGAAACCTACCAATACTGGACACCAAGTGACCCCAACTTGTCTACTGCTATTTGCCAGAGATTCATGTTGATTAGGTTAAAGTAGTAAATTTAGGAGCTTTGAGAGTAAAGCATTGTGTCGTGACAGGTCAGTGTTTGAGGTATCGTTAGACTTTTGAAAAATCTATAGGTTCAGTTTTTCCAGCTATGTCTTAAGAATATTCAGCAGAAGTATATAGGCAAGGGCTGCACAGTAGCACAGTGGTTAGAGCCGTTGCCTTGCAGCGAGAAGTTAAACTTGACCTTTTTGGTCCTGAGGGGGTGGGGCTTGTGTGACATCTTCAATCGACCATTCATTTGTCTTTGGGGATCGATGAGAAATGCCCATAGAAAATGTTGTAACTATAATATTTTCATTTATGAAATTATAGCCATTTAAAATTATTTGGCGAGTGATCAAATTTTGAGGCCTGGCCCCGTACCTTCAGTATTTACAAAAAGTCAATTTTATTTTCTCATTTTAATCGCCCATCCCTTCTGATTGATTGCACACACATTTTGAGACGATTGTGAGAAAAATGACCAAACTGTTCAATCAAATACAGACCCTACAAACGACCTAAACTGTGTCAAAATTGCTACTTCAATCCAAAATGGCCGACTTCCTGTTTGATGTTGACCATGGGTGCAAGAGACTTTTCTGTGCATATTGGCAAGTTCTACAAGTGTACATAATTTCATCACTCTACAATAAAAAAGGTCAATAGAGGGGGTTCTTTTTCACTTTGTAGGTGGCGCTGTCGAGCCAATTTTATTGTGAGTTTTTTAATGCCCTTAAAGAACATAAATTTCTAGGGGATCTCTGTGTTTGAAGTTATTTGTAGTATTATATATACTGTAAACAATAAAATAACAACCATTTACTTAATATCAAATGCAAATATTTAACGTTGTATATATTTATAGTTATACAATTAAAAATTAAAATTTTGTATTTTTTCTGACTTTAAATATTTAGAGTTTAGTTTTATTTGTAATAATACTTTTAAAAATATAACATAAAACCTACAATCAATTCCAAATGTGAAAATATTTAGATTCAGCATCGTTTATTTAGATTTTATTGTGAGCATTAAGGTTTCCATTATTATATATTTAATATTAAACTACAAATATACAAATATATTGTTTAGATTTGACTCTACATACTGTATTTATATTTAGAACATTTTTGTGTATTTGAATTTCATACGAAATATTTACTTTTAACATCACTATAGTAAATACGGTATATGGATATGGATTCTATATAAAATATAAAATAACTAAGTACCTAATACCAAATGCAAATCTAACTACATAACATAAAACTTATGATGAATTCCAAATTTACAGACTTTGAGATTAATTATTATTTAGACTTTATAGTGAGTATTAAGGTTTTAATTATGTTATAGAGCTCCGGACGTCACATGACTCTCAGAGAGTAGACGCCATGTTGGCAGGCAACAAAGGTAAACAAAATGAACGGGATCGGCTTGGATTTTCCTCCGTCTGAGTTTACTTCACTCTTCAAAACCAAAGAAATCGTTTTATTTAGTCAGAAATTAAATAGACTAAACATCTCCGACCCTTACCATGCCCCTGGGATACTTTTTAAAAATGCCAGAAGCTGCCGGAGTGGACCTGGCCAGGCGATGCCTTGGGATTCCCCCGGAGGAGCTGGCCCAAGTGGCTGGGGAGAGGGAAGTCTGGGCCTCTCACTTAGGCTACTGCCCCCGTGACACGACTCCGGATAAGTGGATGAAAATGGATGGATGGACAAATAATATAGATTTACATGTAAGTAGTTTAAATAGAGTGCTGTTTGAATGTATAAACTGAATACCAAGAGAAATCACTAGTTAGATTTTTTTCCGTGAATAAAATAAATATGTCAGGCAGGAGCGTCTCAGGATCTGTCTGAGATCTGTCTCGGTGAGACGGATAATAGCAATCCAAAGTGCTTTTTATGTGTTTGATCTGACAATCGTTCAACCATTGCTTAAAAATTAAATACAGCTTAGCCGGTTAATTGCTGTGATCATAAAACACGCAAACGGCAGCGCGCAGAACTCACGAGGCAACGTTTTACGTGATGTTTACTTGCTGCTATGAGTAATAAGACAGAAAAAGCCACGCCAAAATAAGTTTAGGAAGCCCACTAAGAATCGTAATAAAAGCATTTAAAATAAATACCATATGCAGTTGAGGAAACGTTGGTTTAAGTACCTGATATGAATTGATCCCACAGCTTCATTTCAGCCCGGTCACTAGCGCGTTTTACTGCACTGATCAAACGTTTATGGCACTCCGGTTCTTGGGGAATCCAGTAGATGGCTCATTCCTTATGTCGTCCGCGTCTGTTCTGCATCCTGGGGCACAACAGGAATCTACCATATTTCCCATTTGATTGAGTTTTCTGACAATGACAAATAGTCCAGCTGCGGGCTTCTGCCTGCCAATATGGCGCCGTTTCGATTTGAACTGTTGCGTTGTTGTTGTTGTTGTGACGTCAACTCCCGGAGCTCTATATAGTTCATTTTATACTACAAACTTTAATTTAGATTTGATTCAACATACTCATGTTGATAAGTAGAACACTTTTATGTATTTGGATTTCATACAAAATACTTATTTTTAACATCACTTGAAACTAATATGGTCAAATACAGCTGTTATTTTTTAAATGTATTTCATGTATTAGTTTTACAATCGGCACCCCATATATTAGCAATGAGGTATCTACTGCATCACAGTTGTAATATGAGGATCTGTTCTGCTGCTGATTTAAACATAAAACATCACAGAAGCAGCACTGAAACAACAGGACAAGTTTGTTAATAAATCAACAGTTTTTTTTCTTTTATCATCTTACATTTTATATACTGTATTCAACAGCAAAGACCACTGAGACTATAGTCTTTGGTCACAAACACAATGTGCTGAAAAGTTAACACATAGCAGTGCAAAAAAATTGAGATAATTTAAAGCCTGGTTTTCATAAGTTCTGTTATTTGTCCACCAGTTTTTCTCCCTATAACACTTACACACTCGAAAAAGTAAAAAAAATAAAATAAAATAAAAATAAAAATTAAAAAAGCGACTTAAAGGGGCTGATTTAATATTGCTTTTCTATTAAAACGGGGCAACTACGACAGCTTTAGCTGCTCGTGATGGCTTCAAATACACACTTATCAAAGCAACTGACAAGCTGATCACCAAAACATTTCTCCTTCATGTTTAACATACATGTAACAGATTTGGCTAAAAGTTGTGAGTAAATTCTGTTTGGCTGTTATACCTATGTTTCTAATATACACAACAGAATTTTCCTTTTCTAATAAACATTTTCTATATTTTAAATTCTTAGCAATATTTTAGTTAAATAATTCTGATATGTATTGCTACAGAATGAAAATAGAATTAAATAAGAAATCTGATCTCCGTTTGAGGTGTTTTAAACATCCAGTGTTTAAAAATTTGTAACATCTACAATGAAGTAGTGAAATACAGTAACATACATTCATCCCTTAGCTAAAGAACAGATTTTTAAATAATAAATTCAACAGTTTCATACATTTTATTTTGAAGGGACAACAGGATGTTTGTTTAAAGGACAAGCTGAGGGAAAAACAAACCCCAAACCTTTCGATCGTCAGAGGATCAGATGTACACTTGTCCTCTGCAATCAGATGTTCAAACATGGGACTCATCCAGATCCAGGTCAACAGGGGACATGGGGAGAGGGAATTGATAGGATGAATGATGGGGTGATGGGGCAGACAGCAGCGGGGTGAGGAGAGGGTTCTCAGTGCCATCATCCTCGCTGAGCTGCAGCAGGGTATCGCAGGGCGGCAGGAGTGCTGTGGTGTCCTCGTCTCCAGGACTCTCCCTGATGCCGTTTGGACCCTGTGGTAGAAGTGGAGCCGGAGGCAAAAGGGGGCCAGGGGTGGGCATTGTGCACAGCACCGGGAGGGGAGGGGGAAGTGGAGAGGAGGTGCGGGAGAAAGGTAGAGGGGAGCAGGTTCGGGATGGGGTTGTTGGGGTGGAGGGGCGGGAGATGGAGGGGGGAGGGGAGAGGCTGCTGCGGAGGCCCCACTGCTCCCTCTTCTCCTTGCTGCTTTTGGCTGGAGGAACCTGTACGAGAACAGACTTTGTTCCTGTGGGTTCAGTCTTAAAGGGCCAGTTCACACAAATAAAACATCCACCGGTGCCGGCCCAAATCAGAGGTCAACACTGTGCGTTTCAAACAAACACAACTCAGGGTTCGTACGGTCATGAAAAACCTGGAAAAGTTATGGAAATTGAAAATGCAACTTATAGGTCCTTCAAAAGTTCCTGAAAAGTAATATTCTCTGTATAGTTTTGGAAAAGTCATTGAAATATTGTTCAGATAATATTTTGGATGTGTAAAATATTAAAAATACAATAGCGTACTACGATTAAAATTTACATTGCCACAGAAGTGCAACATGACGCTCTCGCTGCTACTGTCCGACTCCGTGTGAACCGCCACGTTCGATTTCTGTTTACTAAATGCGTGCACCGCATTGGGCTAAAACGATCACGTGTGAGCCACTTTACCAATCCTCTCAATTTACCATTTTACTATTACCATTACTCTCAAAACAATCTAGTCCCAAATTAAAACATTGATCGTAATAAAACGGCTTTACCAAAAGGAGAAGTTTACCTTTGAAAAACATATGAATGTACTTTTATGAAGCAAATGGCAAGTGGCCACAAGCGCTCGGAAGGAGATGAGACAAAAATGGGGTTCACCTGACGGCCTACGATGAGAGTTCACATTACTGTAAAGTAGCTTGATTTTTCATTGGTTCATTGTTTGGCGGTGTCTCAACTTGTTATCCGACGTGGATTTTAAAATGCTACGAAATGCCGGGGAAGTGCAGTTTTAACGAGTGGCTTTTCAAGGAGAAATATCAACTGTGGCTACTGAAAGATCCTGACAAGAAACGCGCAAAATGCAGCCTTTGCTCCAAGTCCTTCGATATAAGCGGCATGGGAGAGGCGGGGCTGGTAAGCCACATGAAAGGAAAAAAACACACTGCAGCTGTCGAACGCTGCAGAAGCCTGTAGTCGGCGAGTTTTTTTAAAACAGGCAAAGATGGTGTTAGTGCAGTTTCCTCCGCACCGACACAGACGGTTGTTGATGCAGCGGCTGCAATTTCCACGGCAAGGGAGACAGTCATGGATGCATCTACAACAACAGAAGTTCTCAAAGCTGAAGTTTTGTGGGCATTAAAAGTAATGAACTCTCACTACTCTTACAAATCATCAGAAGACATAGCTGCTCTTTTCCAGGCAATGCTTCCTGACAGTCAGATTGCTAGGAGATTTGCATGTGGTGAGAAAAAATGCAGCTATGTGTGCACATATGGACTAGCCCCGTATTTTAAGAAGCTGATACTGAAGGACGTGTCGCAACAAACAGCATATTTTGATTTATTCGATGAAAGTCTTAAACATTTGCAGTCAAAACAAATGGGCATTCATGTTAGACTGTGGGTTTGATTTAGAGGCACCGACTACGATGGTCTGGCTGAAATGTGTTCATTTTTGGTCTTGGAAATTCAGTGAATGGTAATGGAAAAGTCATAGAAAAATTATGGAAAACCATAGCTAAAAAAGTGTATGAACCCTGACAACTGGACCCTTTTCATGTTTTTGAAGAGGTTTCACATACTTTCTGAGAAGCTTAGTCAAATCAAAATGAAGAGTCCAAAGAATCAAGATTTTCAACTGCAACAATTTCTCTATTAATGCAAACAAACCCACAAATTCAGCCCTCCAAAAAGGTCTTTAGGATCTTTGTTAACGTGTGAAATGTTACGACCACATTCCTGAAGGTGTGCATTGCTGTGAGACTGTCTGGGGTGCCTATCTCCAGCGGTCAATGGGCAATCAGGTGGGGTACACCCTGGACAGAGAGCCAGTTCATCACAGGGCGACACAGAGACACACACACACGCACACACACGCACACACTCACACACACACACCTAAGGACAATTTGGACAGACCGATCAACCTAACAGTCATGTTTTTGGACTGGGAGGAAGCCGGAGTACCCGGAGAGAACCCACGCATGCACAAGGAGAACATGCAAATTCCATGCAGAAAGATCCCAGGAAGTGAACCCAGGACCTTCTTGCTACAAGGCACCAGCTCTAACCACTGCACCACTGTGCAGCTTCTTGCTCATATTCAGTGATAGTTTATTTATATCCAACCATGATTTAATTTGATCAAGTCAGCATTCGTCTCTTGTATTAGATGTAGCAAGTCCAGTGGTGGGCAGTCAGGGCCAGCAAAGCCTTCTCTGCGGGCCTAAACATACTCAAAAACGTAAATGTATTTTTTTTTCCTTTGGTAAATATTTTTAAATAAAAAAAAAATGTTCACTGGTCTATTTTCTTTATATCCTACTATAACCACTTGGCTGCGCTGCTTCCAGTGTTAAAATACCAAGGCTGGGTGTTATCCAATCAGATTTAAGCTAGCTTGTGTTTTCAGGCAGATTAAGTCTGCTCTAGGCCTTCAGAATCAAACGAGAAGCCCACTGTCCGCTGTAAGTGAACAGAGACAAGCCAGTTGCGATAGCCAATCAGCTCACGAGTCAGCGTGGCCCAGGCCAGCTAGCTGGCCTCACGCAAAAGTTGACATGAACGCATCCTGTGATTGGATAAGCAGTAGTTTGAACTTTTCTAGCAGCATGAAGCAAAATATCAAAACTAAACACAGAGATTTGTACCTATAGGCAGCTATCGGTGTATTTTTGAACACATGATGGCTGAAAGAGGAGAAGGGACCGACTTGGTGGCAGATTAACTTGCCACACCATTTTCCAGACGGACCTTTCAAGAAAAAATGGATCTTGTGAGAACAGGTCGTCTGACTCCAACGCTAGCTGGCTTGTCCCAGCAGGGGAAAGGATTTGTTTCGTCATTTTCAGGCAAGCAACTATGAACGGTACCCATGGCAAACAGCTTCAGAGAACCGCTGCAGGTTATTCTGCTGGGAATGCCTGTTGCTCGCATCAGATGGATTTGGTAGCATTAAAGCGCGTTAAAACGTACGCCAGAAACACGACTGGGCAGACACGTCTTTCAGCATTAGCCTCCATGTCCATAGAAAAGGATCCACTCATGGACCTGAAGCGCACAGATAAACTGTACAGAGCCACTGAGGTTTTCCTGAGGAAAGAAAGAAGGATGGATTTTATTTTCAAATGAGCAGGAGAGGAGGAGATCCATGCTGGACATTTATGTTGGTGAGTAGAAAGTATTTTTTAATGTTTTGTCATTTCATTTTGTTAATAATCAATAAATGGTAACGAAATAAAATGTCTAAATAAAATTATTCTGTGTTCTGTTTCTATGCAATTTATATTGTGAATGACGTGGTGTGTGCAGCTGCGCCAACATGTTCAATTGTTTCGCGGTACAATTTTCTCCAAAACAAATGCAAATAATGTGTTTGCTTTACTTATTTATTTTATTGTCTCATCTCTTAAACACATCTTTCATTTTTGAGATTTGACAGTATCCGTGGTCTTAGCTTCCTACTCTCAATTGGGAATGCGAGTTTGATTTTAAAGGCTCCGGAAATGACGTCTTACCCAGCCACTGGTGTGTGTGTGTGTGTGTGTGTGTGTGTGTGTGTGTGTGTGTGTGTGAGAGAGAGAGAGGTTTCTCCAGCTGTGATGTCCTATTGATGGTATTTTAAGGTGTGTTAATTTAGATTGGACTGAATAGGAAGTCACGGAAGGCCCAGGGGTGGAATGCACCGCCCGCCACTGAGCAAGTCACTACCAGAACAAAATATGTTGGTATCATCAGCAAATAGAACCATCTTAAGTACTTGGGAAACCTTACATATGTCATATACATTAAAAATAGTTTAGGGCCCAATACTGACCCCTGTGGGACGCCACATGTAATATTCTGACAGGATGAACAAACATCATCTAGTTTCAAAAACTGCTTCCTTTCAGATAGGTAATGTAGCAGGATGAAACAAGCCTGCTCCAAATTAGGTGGGTTGGCGCATACCGGCTTCTGTACTCATGAGGGCGCTGTGGGTGTAAAAGGGAGCTCTGCTCACTGTTGGAGCACGCTAAAGAAACGCTGCATTCTGGCGTCAGCTGCTGTATTCAAACTGCGCCTCAGTAGGTGATCAGCTTTGCTTTGGTGGTATGTACTCTACTGGCTAATCAATTAGTTTTAAGGAGATTCGTACTCAAACTGTGTTGTACACTCAACAGCTTGGGCATTTGTTTATTTTGTACTGGGTGTGACGCTACCGCTCATCCCAGAGTGAACTGAGCATTGGAGAACAGGTATGTAGCTCCTGCAGGGAACAGCATGTGAGTTGAACTAATCCAACTCAAGCTCTGTGTTAAAACTCGGACAGGTGTTGAGCACCTGTGCGCTGCCGGGCGGGGAAGCTGTTAAGTAAAATTGATATTATAGCTTAATTTCTTGACTGCTAAAACTTCTGGTGCTCATTAAGAATGAATAAACGCAGGGTTCATCCTGTTGAGTCTCCACAGGGAGGACGTGAGCTTGCGTTTCTGGTCAGACCAAGCGGGTCTGTTTTATCAGTCAAACTCCCATGAGAAATGTCTAGAAACTGCTTTGTTAATTAGTGTGCACCTGGAGCTGAGACGTCCCTTTGCTAGCAGCTTCCCGCCTGATGGTCTACGTAATAGTCTCGGGAATGTGATGTGTGTGTGTGTTTCTTCAATAAATGCTGTCGGAGGACGTTTGTCTGACGAGAGTTATCTGAGATTCGTGCTTGGTGTGTATTTATTTTACACTCCACTTTGCAAAGTCTATATTGGTTGTTTATCATTCATATTGGTGTTGATTGGTTATTGCTATAACCCCCTGTGCATTAAACTTTCCCTAAGGTAACCCTGGATTGATAAAAATTACCTAACAGAAGCTTGCTTGTGGCCTAGATTATACTAGCGGGCAGACAGGTAGGTATGGTCACCTTTTCCAGACTTGGTCAAAAATATAAGTTGTTGACCTGTACCTTTTCCCTGCTTTCTCTTAGATTGTGCTCTGTGGTCTGGTGGGTGGCACCACTGTTTCGCTTTAGTTATTTTATTCCTTCAGTCCCCCCCCCCCCCCCAGTGCCAACCACTGTTTATGTGTATACTAAAGATTGTAAAATTTCAAGCTAATAGAAATGTTTATAATAGACGTGGTGAGAAATATTGAAAAAGGACAAGTTTGAGGACGCGATAGACAGAATTTGATGGTAAACAAGTATAAATATCACAATCCAAAAGGACTGCCAATGGTTTAAATGCTTGGTTCATTTTTTCAGCTGAATTGACAAACATTCTTCAGATGAAACACAAAATTTCTTCAAAAATGGAGAAAAGGCCAAGCTGATGTTTTTTTCAACCATTCTGGATGAGTGAGGACCTTCAACAACTGGAATTAATAGAATTTTTATATTTTAAAGGTGTGGTACACTGAAAACCCATTTTTTATGATTATTCATGATTGCAATCCCTCTGCCATCCTGCCTGGCTCGTAATCAACGAGGGACGGCTTTTACATTTGATGGCAAGCATTCCCTGTTTTTTGTCATATCTATTCTAAAATAGCACGTGGAAAATAAACGTCTGATTTTTGCACAAATCTTTCGGCAAACACGCTCAGCTTGCGGCATGGATCCCCATTTCTGACCTCAGCGGCTGCAGCTGCAGGTGGATGAATATGCCCTTCGAAAGAAGACAGGGTGACGTCTTTTATACAAACCTGGTTTCAGAAAAACACCCTCAGTAAAAATTTTGGGCAACGGGAAATTATTCCTCAACAGTTTCAGCTGATTGTATCATTCAGGAATAAAACACGTTTTTAAATATCTCTCTCTTCAGCCACATGCTATTTTAAACTGAACACCACTCGGCATTGTCCCATAGCCTGAGTCATCTGCTTGTGGACAGATGCCAATCATACATCTGCCCATAAGCAGAAACAAATGCACACACGTTCATTGAAGTACCTTGACTGATAGAGTTGGCAATAGTTTTATGAAAACATATGGCTTTAAAATATTTATATGAAAAAAATAACACTGGGTGAGATAAATAATTGCACACCAGGTGTTACAGATGCGCACTCATGAACAAAAGGCATTGCTTGGCTAGGCAGCAGGGAGCAGAGCTTAAGATGAAATACATTTTTTCTGCCTCTAGACGGTATCTACTGACTCTGGGTTTTTGCTTTAAAGAGACAACGTGTAGTGTTTTCCATTAATCTCTGGCAGGTGACTCTAATCACTATCAATGTGCTGTAAAGCACATTAAGATGCCTTTGTGTGGGAAATGTGCCATATAAATAAAGCTGTCTTATCTGGAAATATTCCAGTTGTTGAAAAATATTGGTGGCTTCATAACACATAACCATAAAAATTGGGTCTAAAATACATGGGAGCAGGTCTAAGTCTCTGGATGATGCCATATTAGACGCCGTGTTTCCTTCCACGGGAGCCCGTGAGGAAAAAACACATCTACTGTTTTGGTACAAACAGTTACAAATCTTTCACCATTCATAAACGTTGTTGTTTTACACATTTACCTCTTCACTCATTGCCAGTGATGAAAAGGAGTCTGATGTTCTTGTCATCTGATGTTCTTTCGCTGGAGGTTGCGCTCCCTGGGACTTTTGACCCTAATGGCCATCCGTTGGTAAGGTCTTACTCAAACACAAAAGTACTGCTTGCTTGCAATGATTTAGGTATCTACTGCCCCCTATCGCCACATCGCCACTTTAAGCAAAAGTATCATCTAAAAATTTTATTGCTACTTTATTTTTATTTTTATTTTTTAGAAATTTTAATAATTTGGATAAAATTACTTCTGTGTTGTGCATGTTTTTAAATACCATCTGCATATCAAGCTTCTTTAAGCTCCACCTCCTTTTATACCTGTGTGCGGACGTCAGGATTGACCGTTGCTGTGACAACAGGAGGAACCTCCAGTGTCGGAGACTTTGAAGGAGCAGGACTGGCCCTCGCGTCTTCGGCTGGTGTCTCTGCAGCGCCCTGACACGCCTGCTGGTTCTGAGTCTCTGTAAAAGTCACCGACCTCTTCTGGTCACCGTGTGCTGTGGACACAAACACACGAGTTCAAAATGGAGACAACAGAAACCAGCTAGAGATTCGCTAACACATCAGCACCACCAGCAAGAGTGGAGGCTCGGGGCGAGAGGGGGGGACTGGGGGTGGGGGAGCAAGACAGGCATGCAGAGCGCCCTATCAGGTTGCAGACAAAAAAAGGGGTGGGGGGGGGGGGGGGGCATTGCAGGATGGAGAGAAGGGGTTAACGGCTGTGTCTCACCTTCACAGTCCAATAAAGTTTCTTTATTTTGAAACATAAGGACAGAACAGAGTGACAAGGGTCAGTCTGGTGAAAAGTGGAAGAACAAACATCAGAGGTTTTAATCTGGGAAGACGGGTTGGCTCAATCCAGCACACAAACACTGAATAATGGCTTCCAGCTGGTTCCTTTTGGGTTGGGCTGAGTCTGAAGCTCAGGGAAAGCTTTAGTTCTCTGTGAATCACCCAGGCAAATCTGGCATGTCTTCATCATGAATGTAAAACCAGACACCCGCAACCCCCCAACACTCACACACAACTCCACACGAGGGCCAGTGTATGATTACCCAGTGGTTTGTTCTTGGGCTGGATGCTCCTGCGCGTCGTGGAGAGTCTGGCTCCAGAACGACCTCGAGGTTCAGTCTTTGGAATGGACAACAGGGGGCGCCGCAGCTGCAGAACAGTAACAATAAAGTCAGTCTTTTGGGAATTAGAGTCACCTGCCAATATATTTGGTGAAAAGGTAGTAAAATAATAAAAACAAATCACTGGATCTCGATATTTACTTTTGGAACAGGATTCAAGATGGCCGTCACAGCTGCATGACATTACTAGGAATAAAAAGGGCTAAACCAGCGTTTCGAATAACGGGGGAAGCTAGGCTCCCCCATAAGGGCGAGGAGCTGCCCGGGAAGCCCTTGACTGACACACCCAGGTTGAGCGTGAAGGTAATCAGACGGAATTCCATAATTAGGAATTTGTACCTCATAAGTACGACTTTGAATGCTATAATTATGATTTTAATTGTGAATATTATGACTTTAATTCTTATAACAATGACTGGAAAACTCAGTGAGTGTATTCCGTATTTATGGTAACTTTGTAGCTGAACATTTTTGACTTTGTGTCTTTTAATTAGAGCTGCATCTTATAACTATAAATCTAATAATTGTAACTCTATCTTAAGTTTGTGTCTTCGTATCATATGATTGTGATTTTGAAACAACAGTCATAATTCTAACTGTTCCTTGCTTTGTACAAATGGACTTTTATACCTACTAAACTATCATAATTCCATGGAATAACACTATTTTAAATGGTTGAGAAATCTCAAAGCATGTATCGTTCACACCTGTCTGAGTCCTCGTTTCCTTCCCAATGGGGGCTGGATGAGGAGGTTCTGCTGGCCTGGTTCACTCTGCACACTGGCAACCCTGGTTTACACACACATACACACACGCACGCACGCACGCACGCACGCACGCACGCACGCACGCACGCACGCACGCACGCACACACACACACACACACACACACACACACACACACACACACACACACACACACACACACACACACACACACACACACACACACACACACACACACACACACACACACACACACACACAACATCAACTGAAAGGGAGGACACCAAATCCCCTCTGCAGCCACCGAACCCAACATGTTGCTGCTAATCTACTCAATCACACACTACTACAACAACACACACGGTGTGCTACAATACGGCAAGTCACAGTGCATGAAATTAACAGTGCTGCTATGATTTAAACACCCAAAGAAACACACCAGGGGATATTAGGGGCCGGAGCAGCAACACTCAGAATGCTTTTTTAAAAATCATCTAGCCAAGAAAGCAAATTTGACTGTATATACACAAAATTAGACTGTATTTGTGTTGGTGTTGCCACCCCAGGTCCCCTTTTGTCCCGACAGATTGGTATCCACAATAGGACGCCCAATTTGATCAGCAAGAAGCCTGAGAGACACATAAACAGTATGAGACACCGATGGAAGGAAGGCTGACTTTAGGTGATGGCACATCAATTGGAAAGACCCAACGGGAGGACCAGAGACCCCAGTGGGAGAAGAAGCGGGGCCTCTTTCGCTTCTTTATAAGGAGGAGGGGCCTGGTTAGGATAGTACAGCAGATGAGCTGAGAGGATGAGGGCCAGTGTGGATCTCGATAAAGTGGGAAGTTGAGGGGAGAAACGGTTGGATTTACACAGAAAGAGGTGAGAGACAGGAAAGAGATGTGCAATTTGGATGTGGATGAGTGATCAGGAAGAGGAGGCCGTCCCGAGGCGATGCCCCTCCCACAGAATGGGATACACACACAAAGAGGGCCACTGTACCTAGAGAGGCTACCCTCCTGCAGAAGACCCTGGAACTCATCTAGCACATTGGGTTCACTGTAAAGAGGGGGGCGGAGGGGAGGGGGAGAATGGGAGTGTAGTTGAGATCCATCACCACTCTGAGAGCCCGGTCTGGATTGTGGTGGAAAACCAGGGTGTTCCTATCAAGCTAACCAAACTAGAGCATTTTCTTAGCTTTAGTTTAGCTTCACAAATCTGCCCGGAGACAGCGGATTCAATTAAAAAATAATTATACTCAACAGAGATATACACAGAAAAACATGACCGTGGCTGTGGGTTATGATCAATAGAATGTTTTTAAAAGGTTCATTCTGCATGCTACATAAAAAAACAACCTGAATTGTACAGAAAGGATTCCTATAACATCTGTTTGTTACCATGGTTGATTGAGGCAAGTAGGGTGAATGATTTTAGTGCCATTTTACTTTATTTCTATTTCTACTTTTTAAGTAGAAATGAATTGATCATTTCAACTTGTCCATCCACATTTCAACTGAATGAAAGTAATAATAGGTAATGACATCTTATCTTCAGCCATAGGCATTTTGGAAAGCCATTTCTGACGATAAAGTGAAAAAGGGTCAAATTAAAACTGTGTCCTGTAATGTTAGCTTTTGATGTCCCAATTTTGACTAAAAGTTTAGGACTTAAATTATGACTCAGTCGCATAATTATGTGTAAAGCAGTTTTGGTTTTAATTGCATTATTATTATTATTATTATATGATATATTTTACAATTTAATATTTTTGATTTTGTCCTCATAAGTTGAATCACAACCTATAAATCAAATAAATACAACATTATATCTCATAATCCTGATTCTCAATTAACATTGAAACTCAATTATGAGACAACATCTTCTAATCATGACTTTGTGTCTCATACCTATGACTAAATCTGATAATGAGTCTAATTGTATTCTTGGTATCTCTTATAATTATAACTTTACATCTTGTAATTATTGAATTGACTTTGACTAAATTTAACATATCACAATTATGACATAGATTCAATTTCTATCCCATAATGACTTAAAATATCATTTCATACACACTCAACATAAGCAATTTATCATAAGCAAAACAGAAATATCAATCATTGAAATTTTAGACACATCCACTTGTGTTAATTATGTTATTTTTAACCTGATTGCAAACAAGGAAACGACAGCGGCCGATAAATCCGCCAGACAAAAGTGTGTGTTTAATAATAATTTACAGTCTACATTAGATCAAGTCATTCATGATAGGCTATATTTGCTTTAATCTAAAATACGACCCAAACTGTCACAGGAACTATGGCCCAGGTTCCTTGAAACAGGTAAGAGACAAGCAAATTACAGGTCAGCTGAATCTGAGAGCCTGCAGAGTTGGATAAGTTTAAGTAATTGGAACGATGCATTTGATAAAAAATATACTTTCAAATGTCAATGAAAGGTACAAGAAAGAGCTTATTTAGGAACTAACCCAAAGACATGATGAGTAGAATCAGCTTTAAATGTGAAAAACCAAACAATTTAATTCTTAGAACATTGTTTTAAACTCCAGGCATGGAGGTGGTAGCACTATGATATGGGCCTTTTTGCAACCCAAATTGTTAAATGGGTTTTAGCAGTGAGGTAGTCTACAGCTGGTTTTGAGTTGAATGTGTGTGTTGGAATGCTACCTTTGGCTAGGCAGCATAGTGGTACGGGTTGCCTCGGGCTGCAAGGATGCCGATCCGGTGACGTGGCTGGAGAAACGACGCTGTGACATCACTCTGGGCAGGAAAGCCTCATGCTCACTCACCACGCTGGGAATACTCATGGAGTCATCTAAGGAGAATGGTGGTCAATGAGTTAATGCAAACATACTCAGTATGAAACAAATGATAAAAAAGGAAAACGTTTCTGACTCTCTTCATCATCCTCGTCAGTACGGCTGAGTGTGTCCTGTGAGGGCTGACGTGAAGGCTGGCTGTCCTGCTCCCAAACGGTCCCAGTGCCCGTGTTGGACCGGGACATTGTAGCCAAACTGAGGCGATAGGCTGATGTGGATGTTCCAACGGTGCTGATTGACGTCTTTCCCTGGTATGCTGTTGAAATGGAACAAAAAGGACAACGTTATTATGTATTTGGAACAGTGGCATTAGATTTGTGAGGCAAAACATTCCTACCTGAGCCACTGTGTACAGCCTCTTTCAGGATCTTGAGTTCATTGTTGAATTCTGCAAACAGTGAGCTCTTGCAAAGAGGTCTAGGTATGAAGCGTCGCTCTAACTGATCCGCTATGTGGTGGCGTGCTGTTATTTCCTCCTGGGAGTCTGCTGGCTGGGTAAGTAACTACGGTAAATAATAAAATGTTATACAAGGAGTTTTTAGAGAAAAATTGACAATACAGTCGTGGCTAATTTACCTTGCATTGTATGAAGGGTCTTAGAAGGACGAAAATGGGAATACGGGTTCTCACAATGAAGTCAATAAAGTCCCAGAAAGCCAAACCCCCCACCTTCCTCAGAGCCATCTCTTTCACCTGTAGGCTTAGGCGGTACCATTGGTTCCCCAATGAGCGTTCAAAGCAAACCAACACCACCTTCAGCGCTGTGAGAGAGGGGAGGGTGAGTAACCAAGAGAAATAGGATGAGTCGTAAAAAGGTGTGTAATTTGTACCAAGATAAGCAGCTTGGCTGGTGGACTCTGCCAATCCTTCTCTACGGAGGTCCTTCCCAGTGTCGCCAGGTGTGGAGCAGTGAGCCGGCGAAGCATCCAGCATGAAGTTCTTGGTGCGGGACGTAGAGATGATCCGAGGAGGCAGCAGGATGTTAATGACAGTCTGAAGGAGGAGGAAGACCTCTGGCTGTTCTAGGTGGGGGCTATCTGCCAAAAAAGAGACAGTGTTTCTCAATGCCAAGGAACCTTGCCTTGATGTCTTGGCCCCACCCTGGTTGCCTAGGAGATACGTCATCGGGAACTGCCAAGACGTGTTCCAATGTTTCTGTTCTACTGAGGCTTGTGTTCTCCGTTTGTTAGACGTTTAGCTAGCTAAGCAAGGATACACGGGAGGTGTCTTGTAGCCTGGCCTTGGTCAAAAATTACCCAGAATACACCGCAGCATTTTCAAAAGGACGGTGGATTAGAAGCCAGCAGCTACTTGGTGCAAATTTCAAGTTTAAATCTAAGTCAACTTAGTTAAAACTTTTTTTTAGATTCAAAGAATTTATCTATAATTGGTTAGTTGCTGAGTAGCTTTGGTGGCTAGCGGGTAGAAACTTGCCTATATATTTAATTTAACAAAGATATACACAATTTTAAAAGTTAAAGGCTCGTTATGTATTGAAACGTATATACAAAATATAATGTTATCTCCCGTGTCACGTGACATTACATGACCGCCATGGAAGCCACGGTCACGTGATGCAAGTCTGTTTCATTAAACCGTTTTCTTTGGCCAAGGAAGGACAATTGTCCTCGTAGGCAAGGTGCCTGAACTCGCAAGACATTGCCTCGAAAGGCCAGGCGCCTTGACATTGAGAAACGGCCTTTGTTTCATCAGCGGTCAACAAAATTCAAGATGGCTGCATCAGTCGATTAACTTTAATGTCATTGGATTGGCACTTTCACAAATCCTGAGCTAAAGTTGAAAGCAAGATAGGAAACTGCTGTTTTCTTCAGCTGTTTCTCAAAAAAGCAACAACTTTGCATTAACCACATAGCAAATTTTATTAGAAGTCTTAAAGCGAGCATACACTAGTATGAATAATGCCTGGTGAGCTCTAATGCTCCTGTCTAAGTTTGAGTAATCAGTCTTACTCTTTAATATTTCAAAAATATTCGGATATGCGAACATCTTATCTTTTATTAGCTAACAGCAACAAAACTCTTCCACAGCCTTTGTTCGCTCTTCTTCCTTGTATAAAAAATACAATGTGGATTTTTTATCTCCACAAATAACAAGCCTGATCTATTCTACCACGTTGTGGAGTTGCTAATGCTAACGGTTAGTTTCTACTACAGATACAAGCTCTGCTCTCTCCGCCACAGACCTTTGCAGTCCCAAGCCAAGGTGGGCAAGTCCATGAATGCAAATGATTCCCTGTGACATAGCTCTGACTGTTTTTTTTGTGACTCAAGCGTTTCCCCGTCTATTTTCTATTGGCAGCTAATGCACGAAATAGGGGTAGAATACTATGTTCACGATTTGCATTCATGTGAAACTCTGCATGACCAATCATGTTTCAAAAGAACAAGTATTGTACGTTTCTCAGTGAGTCTCCACTTTAAACTAACCAATGGTTGGTTAAGCATAGGACTGTTTCCTACATTTTCGTTGTTGCCAAAACAGCATTTTCTCATGCCTGGAGACAAATAGTTGTGATAAAACCAGATATTTAAGTTCCTTCAAGGAATTTTAGGCCTTTGGTCATATCAAAGAAAGAAAATTGAGTTTTTACCTTTGCTTCCAGAGCCCACTGTCAGAACAAAAGGGATGAGCAGGTTAAGCAGCATCCCCTCTCGCCTCTCTTGATTGGTGAAAGGTGAGATCACATGACTGAGAGGAAAGTCATCCTTCAGGGCCTGAAATAAAAGACAAATTTCTGATCCAAAAGGGCAGTTTATTTATTATTCTGTTTGTTAACGTCTAATTATGGCATGCCGTACCTGGATCTGCAGTGCAACCAGCCGAACCACGGCTGTACTGAAAGGGAGTGGAGGAGAGAGGTAGGGGCTGAGATGGAGGAGAGGCAGCCCATCAGCCACGCTGGATGGACCGACCACACCCATGACCTGGCAACAAATAGAAACGTGTTTAAGAAAATCTTCCATGGCTTACTCTATTAATGTGTGTCCATACCAGGTTGACGCAGACGTTAATCAGTGAGCGGAGGTGAGGGAGGAAGGAGATAATTGGCTGGCGCTGTAGGGTCAGACAGATTCCCTCGATCAGGTTGCTGGCTGCCTCCCACTCTACCTGTCTCCTGAAGATACATGCAACAAGCCCCGTGATAAAAGAAAAGCCCAGGTATTAAAAACTAAAATCTAGTAAGAGACAGGTCACTTCTCCAGCTCCTTAAATAGAAAAAAAGTTGCATCTGTTTCATAATCTATAGCACAAAAACCACATGATCACTTACCAATTTTCTACTTGTCATCTTCTTCATCAATTTGAATAAAATATAGAAAACCAAATACACGTACAATTGTAGCTAAGCTCAAAACAGCTGAACAACAACAGCTCCTGGTGGAAACAAACACCTGAGAACAGTGCTCCCTCTAAGCTGGATTTCAGTTGTACAATTGTTTCCCTTTCATTTGCTTTGGAATTTAATTCAAGGGTGCCATTGCAACTAAATTCTAACATCAACATTTTTCAGCAGAGCCCCCCAAAATGTGGGACTTACTTTTGTTATATCCTAAACTCAGAAAAAATGTCTAATTTTTCATTTCTAATTGTCTTAGAAGGGAAAATGGCTCCAGCAATGTTAAAACTGCTATCAGTGACTCATTAATGTCACCATGGTCCTTCTAAATGACTTGCTAAGGTCACCATATCTAGTTGCTAGAGTCACCGTGGCAACAGAACACCTGTGAGAAATGTGCACACATATGCTCTTGTAGGGACAAATGCTTTTAGTCCACAGAAATGGCAATCTAACAAATGGTTGGTAAAAAAACCAACTTCCTGTTTAAGAGCGCTGTTGCAATGATAATCAGATCTTGAGGTGAGCATGCTGTACTCAGAGAATTTGAGAGAAAACCATCAGTCCCACAGACATCAGACATACAGGTCCTTCTAAAAAAATTTGCATATTATGATAAATTCATTATTTTCTGTAGACTTTAATATATTAGATTCATTACACACAACTGAAGTAGTTCAAGCCTTTTATTGTTTCTAATATTGATGATTTTGACATACAGCTCATGAAAACTCAAAATTCCTATCTCAAAAAATTAGCATTTCTTGAAAAGGTTCTCTAAACGAGCTATTAACCTAATCATCTTCATCAACTAATTCACTCTAAACACCTGCAAAAGATTCCTGAGGCTTTTAAAAACTCCCAGCCTGGTTCATTACTCAAAACCGTAATCATGGGTAAGACTGCCAACCTGACTGCTGTCCAGAAGGCCATCACTGACACCCTCAAGCAAGAGGGTAAGACACAGAAAGACATTTCTGAAGGAATAGGCTGTTCCCAGAGTGCTGCATCAAAACACCTCAGTGGGAAGTCTGAGGGAAGGAAAAAGTGTGGCAGAAAACGCTGCACAACGAGAAGATGTGACCGGACCCTGAGGAAGATTGTGCCTTGGGGGACCTGCGGAAGCAGTGGACTGAGCCTGGAGTGGAAACATCCAGAGACACCGTGTACAGTCGTGTGCAGGAAATGGGCTACAGGTGCCGCATTCCCCTGGTCAAGCCACTTTTAACCAGAAACAGCAGCAGAAGTGCCTGACCTGGGCCACAGAGAAGCAGCACTGGACTGTTGCTCAGTGGTCCAACGTACTTTTTTTGGATGAAAGCAAATTTTGCATGTCATTCGGAAATTAAGGTGCCAGAGTCTGGAGGAAGACTGGGCAGAGGGAAATGGCAAAATGCCTGAAGTCCAGTGTCAAGTACCCACAGTCAGTGATGGTCTGGGGTGCCATGTCAGCTGCTGGTGTTGGTCCACTGTGTTTTATCAAGGGCAGGGTCAATGCAGCTAGCTATCAGGAGATTTTGGAGCACTTCATGCTTCCATCTGCTGAAAAGCTTTATGGAGATGAAGATTTCATTTTTCAGCACGACCTGGCACCTGCTCACAGTGCCAAAACCACTGGTAAATGGTTTACTGACCATGGTATTACTGTGCTCAGTTGGCCTGCCAACTCTCCTGACCTGAACCCCGTAGAGAATCTGTGGGATATTGTGAAGAGAAAGTTGAGAGACGCAAGACCCAACACTCTGGATGAGCTTAAGGCCGCTATCGAAGCATCCTGGGCCTCCATAACACCTCAGCAGTGCCACAGGCTGATTGCCTCCATGCCACGCCGCACTGAAGCAGTCATTTCTGCAAAAGGATTCCCGACCAAGTATTGAGTGCATAACTGAACATAATTATTTGAAAGTTGACTTCTCTTGTATTAAAAACACTTTTCTTTTATTGGTCAATGAAATATGCTATTTTTTTGAGATGGGAGTTTTGGGTTTTCATGAGCTGTATGCCAAAATCATCAATATTAGAAACAATAAAAGGCTTGAACTACTTCAGTTGTGTGTAATGAATCTAATTAATATTAAAGTCTAATGTTTATCAGTACATTACAGACAATAATGAACTTCATCACAATATGCTAGTTTTTTGAGAAGGACCTGTAATGTAGGTTAAAGGAGATAAAATATTTACATTTTGATGCATACTGTAATTAAAGCTGACAAACCTGTAAAACATGAAGGATAGGGGCTCTGGAGCACCACAGCTGGACACCATTTTATTAGACTATGCCAGCTCTTACATATTATGTACATACATTTTACACTTTTGTAAATTATATAAATTTTGGAAAGGTACATGTTCAAATTGAGATAAAAAATAGGCTCAGCATAGATAAGATGTTCTGAGTTTAGTAAAACCTATTAATGACATCTAGAATGTACGAGTACAAGACTGGACATACTCCACTAAGAGGGAACACTGTCAGCGATAATACACACTCACTGTTTTAACAGTGAAAGACACACACCAAGATGAGCCCAAAACACACCAAAGCAGCACTTACGGTACAAAGGCAGTGCCACAGATTACTGCCTCGAGAAGCGGTCTATCTACTGTACACACCACGGCAGAGCCACAGCATGATACACTCACAGGGACACAGAGAAAGAAGAGTTGTATTCAACAGACCTGGTGCACAGTGCCTGAGGGCGAGCGCACCTGAGCGTGGGCATCTTGTGAATCTTG